GCGTTTGCAACACCGCCAGTGGCGGCACATCTTCCTCCGTCGGCCGCTCCGACGCCTGCGCCGCCGCACTCAGCAGAGGAGCCGGCGCCTGCGCTCGCCATGCAGCGCGAGGGCTTCGCCTCGCGCCCCAGTGGGCCCACCTGTGCGCGCCGGCGGCCCCCATGTCGCCCGATCTGTTCTCCTGTGTCCCCATCTCTCCCCATCTCTCCCCATCTCTCCCCACACCTCCCCACATCTCCCCACATCTCCCCACATCTCCCCACATCTCCCCACACCTCCCCATCTCTCCCCACATCTCCCCACATCTCCCCCCAGGCGCGAACGCGGCGGTCTTCAACGCGGTCGCGCTCGAGGTACGGGGGAGATATGGGGGAGATATGGGGGAGATATGGGGGAGATATGGGGGAGATATGGGGGAGATATGGGAGATATGTGCGGCTGGAGAACTCCTAACGACTCACTAAGTGATGAATTGAGCGAGTGGGCAAGGAAGTAGCATGGTGCGCTCGAGGTGCTGCCTTCAACGCGATGAGTGAAGCGAGGAAGTGGCACGGTGCGCTCGAGGTGCGAGTAGCGGTTCACGAAGTGGGGGATTGAGCGAGTCAGTCAGGGAGTCGCGTGGGTCGCTCGAGGTGCGGCTGCGGTGGGGCGACGAGTCCTCGCGAGTTGTCGAGGCGCTCGGCGACGCGGCCAGAGGCGACATGCGCCACCCGCCCACGCCGCACAAGCGTGCCGTCCAGTTCCTCGAGCCGAGGCCAGCCCGAGGGCCCCTCACCGTCGTCGCGCGCCAGAACGGGCTGCGCGCGTGGTTCTGTGCGCCGCCGCCGCCCGCCGCGCCGCCGCCGCCCGCCGCGCCGCCGCCACCTCCGCCGCCGCCGTCCGGCTGGTGGGGGCGGATGCTGGTGCAGCCGTGGCACTTTGCGATGCTACGCGACCAGCCGAGGAACGAGGCGAGGTTCGCCGAGATTCGCCGAGATTCACCGAGATTCGCCGAGATACGCCGAGATACGCCGATATTCTCCGAGGTTCGCCGAGATTTGCCGAGATTCGCCGAGATTCGAGGAGAGTGCGCCGGCTGAATTAACGAGACTTAGTTCACGAGGCTGAATTCGCGAGGCGAGTAACGAGGCTTAGTTGTGTGTTGCTTAATGAACGAGGCGTACGCCGCGGCGCTGCGCCGAGCTGCGGGCCGGCTGCAGGCGGGCGCGGCGGCGGGCGCGGCGGCGGGCGCGGCGGCGGGCGCGGCGGCGGGCGAGGGGGCGGAGGCTCGCCAGGTGGCGGTCGATGTCGGGTGCGGGTCGGGTCTGCTTTCCTTGCTGCTGTGGCGGGCGGGCGGCGGCCAGGTGCTCGGGCTGGAGATGCTCCCCGTATCTCCCCGTATCTCCCCTCCCCGTATCTCCCCATATCTCCCCATATCTCAGGTGCTCGGGCTGGAGATGCTCTCCGCCGTGACGGACCTCGGCCGGCGCTGCGTCGCCGCCAACGGCGCCGAGGGCGAGGTGCAGCCTGGTCAAGGGAGAGGCGGCGAAAATGAATTACTTATTACTCAATACTCAATTACTCAATTACTCAATTAGGTGCAGCTGGTCAAGAGCGAGGCCGCGGGACTCCTCACCGCGCCGCCAGAGGGGGCGCCGCGGCTCCACCTCTTCCTCGCCGAGCTGTGAACGGCGTCTCTTCACACCGCTCCTCCTGTGAACAGGCGCCGCGGCTCCACCTCTTCCTCGCCGAGCTGTGAACGGCGTCTCTTCACACCGCCCCTCCTGTGAGCAGGCGCCGCGGCTCCACCTCTTCCTGGCCGAGCTGATGGACTCGGGCGGGCTCGGTGAGTCCTTGCTCTCTCTCGCGTCCGCCGCACGGCGTGGCGGGCTGCTGCTGCCGGCGGCGCCGCTGCTGCCGGCCCGCATCCGCGTGTGGGCGACGCTGGTGGAGCTGCAGGGGTGCGGCACGGCGCTCGACAGCGCCGAGCTCGTGCCGTCGCGCCTAAGCGGCGTGGGGCTCTGGTTTCGGCTGCCTCTCTCCCCATATCTCCCCATATCTCCCCATCTCTCTCCTAGGCGTGGCGCTCTGGCCGTGGCTGCGCTACCGCCACCGGCGCTCGTACTCGGCCGTCGACCGTATCTCCCCGTATCTCCCCATATCTCCGCCGAATCTCCCCAGGCGCTCGTACTCTGCCGTCGACCTTTGATGAACGATGGAATTGATAAATCAGCTACGGCTTTCGTAGCAAAGTAATAGGCGCTCGTACTCTGCCGTCGACCTTGCGGCTGCCGAGTACGCGCCGCTCACCGACGAGGGCCTCTTACTTCATTCGTTCCATACTCACCTCCTTCGTTAATCACAGGTACGCGCCGCTCACCGACGAGGGCCTCTGACTTCATTCGTTCCATACTCACCTCCTTCGTTAATCACAGGTACGCGCCGCTCACCGACGAGTGCCTCGTCTTCTCGGCGGTGGTCGGCGACGCCCCCCCCGCCGACCGGCTCGTCGCACTGACAGCGCAGGCTTGCGCGGCCGTAGATGCGCGGGGCACGCGACTTTTGGCCTTCAAACCGGGGCTGCACGAGACGCACGCCTCTGCTGTGTTCCGCTGCCTTCGCACCCCGCCCACTCGCCGGCTTCGGCGCCGTCTTCACGACACGGCATCGTCGCTCCCACGGCGTCAGGCGTCGGGCGAGGCCAACGCGGTGGTGTGGGTGTGGGAGGCCGATCTGGACGACTCGGGCGCGCCGCCGCTCACCAACGCCCCGTGGGCGCGCGAGAGATATGGGGAGATATGGGGAGATATGCGGAGACATGCGGAGACATGCGGAGATATGCGGAGATATGGGGAGATATGCGGAGATATGCGGAGATATGGGGAGGCCCCCGTGGGCGAGGGAGAGAGAAAGGAGCGGCCAGAGGCGAGCCGGTGCGCCGAGGACGCGTCGCGGAACAGTCCCGTAGGAGATATGCGGAGATATGGGGAGATATGCGGAGATATACGGACGTGTCCCGTAGGCTGCTCGCACGCACTGGAGGCAGGCGGTCAAGCTGCTGCCCGCATATCTCCGCATACCTCCGCATATCTCCCCATATCTCCCCATATCTCCCCATATCTCCGCTAACCCCCCCATATCTCCGCACATCTCCCCGTATCTCGCCATATCTCACCATTTCTGGAGGCAGGCGGTCAAGCTTCTGCCCGAGAGGAGGGCGGTGGGCGAGGGGGAGCCCCTCTCCCTCGAGGTGGCGAGCGGCGGGGGGAGGGACCTCGCGTTCGCCTTGCGCGACGGGCCGGCCGCAGAGGCCGCGCCGTTGCGCCACCACGTCAGGCGCCAGATCACGCGAGATCACGCGAGATCACGCGAGATCACGCGAGATGAGGCGGGATTACGCCAGATCACGCGAGATGAGGCGAGATCACGCCAGATCACGCGAGATGAGGCGAGATGGCCCGAGATTAGGCGCACTTCCCGCGGCGTGTCGGCAGAGACGCCCGCGCCGCGCCGCAGCTTTGCCTCGGACCCCGGCTTCTCGCCGCCGCCGCCGCCCCCCGAGCCACCCGCCGCTCTCTTCTCCGACTCTGCCCCTTCGACCCGGCGCGACGTGCCCTCCTACCGAGGCGGCGCTGGGAGCGGAGGCGGTGAAGGCGGCCGTCCGCCCCGCGCAACTTGGCCGAGCGGCGCGCAGGGCGGTCGGTGGCTCTGCCGCGCCGGCCACCGCCCCGCGAAGCCGCCGCCGCCGCGCCGACCGCCCGCCGTCGCGCCGGACGACGCGTGGCTCTCGGCGCTGTCGGCGAGCGAGTTTACGGCGCCGCGGTACGGCCTCTCGCCACGCGGGGCGGCAGACCACGTGGCGCTGTGCGAGGCGCGGCGCCGCGCGGAGAATTCCGCCGGGCCCCAAGCGCGGGGGCGTGAGCTTTTGACACCCGGCTCACTGTCTGCGGGATAGGCGGCCTTGGACGTCGCCGCGCAGCCGGCGATGCTCGGCGTGCACCCGGCCGAGGCGCAGCAGGCGCTGCGTGTGCTGTACGCAAACTGACCTCGCAGTGAGGGCGGGGCAGCCCTTTTGAGACTGTCACAGAGCCGGAGACGCACCGGAGTGTTCAACCCATTGTGTTGGGGGCGAACGGATCGCATATCCGGCGGAAATCCCCCACGAACACGCAAATCGCAAAACGTGATGAGTTACCCCAAATAAGAAATACTGAAACATTACCGGCGGGCGCTGCGCGAACAACTCGGTGCTGGTGGCGCGCTGCCAGATCGGGCCGCACACCGTGGACAACCACCGCTGGAACTTTGCGGGCTCCGAGTCCGAGTCGTACACGTCGAGCCGCATCCGGAGCTGGCCGCCCCTGCCGTGCGCCAACTTCCCGGAGGCGCCGGGGCTGCTGCTCCGGCACGCCGACGGTAACTACACACACATTGCGGTGCAGGTCAGCGCCGGCGCCGGCGCTGGTGGGTGCGGGCATGCGCATGCGCGCGCGGGGGGGCGCGCACCGTCCGTGTGGTGCATGTGGGTGGGTGGGTTGCCGTAGTGATTTAGTGTTCTTAGTGGCAGGTGGCGGTGGGCGGTGAGCGCGCGGTGGCGAGTGGCGAAAGCCAAACGGCGACACGCCGTCAGCTCGCGGCTCGCCACGGTAGCCGTAATATAAGATGCTCGATCTCACCAGGCACGTCGATGCTCGATCCGATCGAGACTGAGAGCTCGCTGAAGCTGGCGTGTGACGACGGAGTGGCCCGCCTCTGTCACAACTTCGAGGCTGTCAGCGCGCGCACGTGCAGCGTGCTCGGCGTGCGACGCCTCATTGGTACAAGTGGTCAGCTGCTAGGTAGGTAAAGCTAGGTAGGTAAAGCTGAGCTTGACGCAACCGGCCCATATGTTACAACATGCTGGCAGCGGCTCGATTCGACAGCGACCTACCTTGCGGCGCGAGCCGCACATACACCATGTTAAGGTACTGTGTAGCCTGTGTGCGCAGGTAGCCCGTGCTCACATTGAGGGCAGAAGCCGCCTCGGCGCTCGAGGGGAAGAGCGGCGGCTTGATGCTCTGACGCGCGAGCTCGGTGTGGAGCTGCGTCCAGCGCCTGCCCACTGGTCCATCGTAGGTGAAGGTTCCACCTGGCCGGATGTACTTGCGGACCGCTTGGTACGGCGCGTCGACGGCCGCAATCGGCGGCACCTCCCAGATGACATCGACTGCTCGCAGCAGCCGCTCGCGCGCGGCAGCCAGCTCCTTCGGGCCGAGCGAGGTGCACGAGGAGTGGAAGTTCGTGCATCGGCGCGGCGGCCCAAAGTGACGGCGCAAGTCGCCGCCGCCGCAAGGCGCTTGAGCCGGCGCGCCGCCGCCCTCGCTGCCCAGCCCGCCGTCGCACGCATTCTTCACAGAGAAGATATCGCCCACACCGGGTACAAAGTTATCGTCAAAGAGTAGATGCCGAAAGCCCGCGCGTGCGGCCTGCTCGATCCGCTGCAGGTGGTCCTGGTGGTCGTCCATCACGACGAGCGCGCTGGCGACGTCGATGCCGAGCGACGCCCACCGCACCTCTGCAAAGTCGGTGTAGTTCCTAACAAAAACAAAGGGGGAGACAATAAAAATAAATACAGGAGAGACGGGCGACGAAAGGACAAAAACAAAAGAGTTGTTTGGTATTGCTAAAAATCTCTCGAAAGGAAAAAACAGTTCGCACCCCGCAGAGAGAGAGAGAGAGAGAGAGAGAGAGAGAGACCGCCCCGTTCACAGGTGTTGAAGAGGCGCAAATCACTGTGTGACACATTCTTTTCTTTATTTTCAGGCAATCACAAACGCTATTTTGTCGTACTCCTTTTTTGAGTTAGAAGCCGGTATTTTTCTTTATTTTGCGAGCCCTGGCGCCCTCGACGCTCCAACCTCCGCCTCACCATGTCCGAGAGGCAGGAGCCGACGGCTGGCTCCAAGAGCCAGCTCAAGAAGCAGGCAAAGATGCTGCACAAGCAGCAGGCCAAGGCGGAGCATGCCGCCAGAGGGCACAGCGCGATGCTGCACGAGGCGCGGCGGCTCCGCGAGCGGCTGAACAGCGACGCGGCCAACGCGGTTCCGGACGCCGCCCTCTACCCGCAGCTTCCCCGCGCCTCCGCGTGCGAGCTCTTTGAGGCCGTCGGCGACGAGCTGCTCCAGCGCACCGCCCTCCTGCAGCGGCCCGACGGCGAGGAGGACGGCGCCGAGGAGGACGGCGCCGAGGAGGACGCGGCCTCGGCGCAGGCGCGGTCGTGCCGGGTGATCGAGAAGTTCCTGTGGCGCGCGCAAAAGTACAACGACAAGTACGCCAGCCAGGAGCTCAGCCTTCTCTACCAACTCTACCGGCTCGGCGCGCACGACGGCTGCGACCTCGTCGTCGACATCGGCGGAGGCAACGCAAACCTGAGCTGCCTGATCGCCCTGGTGTTTAACGTGCCCGTCATCTGCGTCGAGATGGACTCGCCGCGCCCCGAACTGCGGGGCGAGTTCTGGCTGCCGCCGCACCTCAAGGCGGCGAGGGCGGCCCGGCGGGTGGAGGCGGACCCTTCGCGGAAGCTTCCCCGGAGCATCCCTGTAGGCGGCGAGGGCGGTCCGGCGGGTGGAGGCGCTCATCCAAGACTACAGCCTGCCGGAGGGGTACAGCAACGTCCTCGTGCTCGGCAAGCACCTCTGCGGGCCCGGCACCGACGCCGGGATCGACTTCGTGCGGAGACACCTCGGCGTGGTGGCGGCGCCTCTGCTGCCCGCCGGCCGGCGCGAGCTCTTCTTCACTGCCTCGTCTCCGCTGCTGCTAGGTGCGCGGCTGCGTCTTTGCGACCTGCTGCTGCTGCAAGCTGGTCGGCGCGCCCGGCGCCGGCAGCGGCGGGTCGCACCTCTTCGCAGACCTCTACTTTGGGCCGGCGGCGGCGGCGGCGCAGGCCGGCGAGGTGTGCGAGCCGTGCGGGCCGGCCGAGGTGGGGCCGGCGGCGGCTGCGCCAGCCGATTCGCCGGTGGCTGCGCCAGCGGGGTCGGGCGGGGAGCGGTTGGTCGACCGGGAGGCTGCGCGCGCGAGCGAGGAGGCGCTGGGCCGAAAGCAGAGCGCGCGAGCCAAGGAGGCGGCGCGGCTCGCCGCTGCGAAGGACGAGGCGCGCGCCGCGGGCAAGCAGCTCTGCCGCCGCTTCCTCCGGTACGGCAGCTGCGAGGACGGGGGCGCGTGCCGCTTCCACCATTGCGCCGCGGCGCCGCAGGGCGTGGAGGAGGACGGCTTCGGCTCCCTCTTTAGCAAGTACCGTTTCCCGGCGGCGGAGGCGGAGGCGGAGGCGGAGGCGCCGGCCGCCTTCCTGCGGCGCGTGCTCCCCGCCGTCGCGCGTGCAACCTCGTGGCGGAACGCGGTCTTCAACCCGAAGCACCGCGGCTCGACCGCCTACTCGGACCTGCTCGAGCAGGCCGAGTTCTTCGAGTCGTGGATCCAGGGCTTCCGCCGCCGCCGGCTGCGCGAGCTCTTCGGCGCGCGGGCTGCTCGAGCAGCCCCGCAACGGCGGCGGGCGGATTCACGGCGGGCGCGTGTGAACAGGCGAGGAGGAGGAGCTGCTCTATTGCGGCGACGACGTGCACAGCCAGCAGAACCGCTGTCTGGTCAGCGGGCGGACGCTGCGGGCTTCGCCGCCGACAGCCCCTCTTCCGAGCCGGCGCGTGGCGACGAGCCGCGGCCAGTGTCGCTGGTTCCTTTGGCGGCGCAGCGTTTATCCCCCCCACCCGCGCCCGCCCGCCCGCCCGCCCGCCCGCCTGCCCTCATGCCTTGCCCCTTCGCAGGCGCGGGAGCGCTCGCCGGCGAGCACCTCCTACCTCTCCTCGCCCGGCTGCTCCCTTGCCCCGTCGCCCGCCGCGCCCTCGCCCGGCCGCCTCACCGCGCACGGAGCGCTCGGCTGCTCGCCGCCGCCTGTCTCTGGCACAGACGGAGCAGCGACCGCGCCAGCGGTCGCTGCTCCGCCCCTCCGTCGCGCGCGCGTCGCTGCTCCGCCCCTCCGCCCTCGCCCCGCCCACCCAGTCCGCAGTCGCCCCGCGTCTCAACCAACACCCTTCCCGCGGCCACGCAGGGCCGTGTGGTGTGTGACACTCTGTGAGTGAGGGGGACGGCGTGCGCGAACTCGCCGTCTGAGCCTAGCGCAGCGCGAACTCGCTCTGAGCCTAGCGCAGCGCCTCGGAAAACACGCTCGGACTCTGTCAGGTGTCACAGGTGATCATCCAATTTCCCTTACGAGCCTCGGGGGGAGCCTCGCGTATGTGTGTGTGGCGTGTGCCACATGCGACGTGTAAACAAACGTATTGCCAGCGGGAGGCTCTTGTCGCGTCATCTGCTTCTGGGCCGTGCATTCGGCCCGCGCTTGACCAGCACGATCCGGTAGCGTGAAGTACCCGCTCGCAGGCTCTCGTTGAACTTTGGTAATCCGTGGCCACCCTTGTCGCCTAGGCCGTGAGAGAGAGCACCGTCTTCGGGCTTGCATTGCATCACGAACAGCTCCTCGATCAGCTCCGAAGGGCACACAAACTCCACCACTGTCGTGGGGCTGCTGTCCACCCATTTGGCGCCGCGCAGGTACTTTTCGGCATACTGACGGCCCTCGGCGCCTCGCACGATGGTCTGGTAGGGTTGGGTATCCGGCAGCTCGCCGTGTGTGAGCAGATGGCTCAGCTCAGCGTCGCCCATGGGCCGATAGACCAAAGTCCGCATCTGCTCCTCTTCGGCACTCTCGGCGCTCAGCCACACGGCAGATGCGCCATCGTGCGTCACATCTGTCAGCTCGCCCCTCCCCACCAGCTCCCTCTCGTAACCAAGCAACTTCACCCCCTTCACTCGGCTCTTGAACTGCATGCCTGCACCGGCCACCGCCTGCTGTCCGTCCGCCTGCATCTCCTGCGCCGCCCCCTCCTGCGCCGCCCCCTCCTGTGCCGCCCCCTCCTGCGCCGCCCCCTCCTGCGCCGCCCCCTCCTGCGCCGCCCCCTCCTGCGCCGCCCCCTCCTGCGCCGCTCCCTCCTGCGCCGCCCCCTCCTGCGCCGCTCCCTCCTGCGCTGCCCCCTCCTGCGCCGCTCCCTCCTGCGCTGCCCCCTCCTGCGCCGCTCCCTCCTGCGCTGCCCCCTCCTGCGCCGCTCCCTCCTGCGCTGCCCCCTCCTTTGCTTGCCTCCCCTGCTGCCGCTCTCTGGCGAGCGCGCGAGCGAGGCACTCGTGTCCCTTGGCCCACTCAGGCCGCAGCTCGACGCACCTCTCAAAGTGCGCCCGCGCCGTTGCCCAGTCCCTCTCCCGCACCGCCTCTTGAGCCAGCAGCCCGCACTCCTGCCACTCCAGCAGCTCCGCCTCCTCGTGGGCAGACGCGCCAGGGCCGTACACGGCACTCAGCCCACGCCGAGGGGGCAGCGGGGCCTGCTGGGCAGAGGCCGACTCGCCGTCAGCCACACTGGCCGCATGAAGCGCGACGCTGCTGGCGCCCAACGGCCGCAACGCCTCCAAGAAGGCACCGCGCGCAGGCTGGCGAAGGACTGGAAAGGCCACTTCTGCAAACGCGCCGGCAAATGCGCCACTGAGCGCCTTGGCAAACGCCTGCGCCACGAGCGCAGGTGAGTTGCCAAAGGCTCCGCAGCCCCAGGCGCCGAGGATGATCCCGTCGTAGCCAAATGAAGCCATGGTCGAGAGGACGCCGCTGACTTTGCTCTCAAGATGTGCTCGCTGCTTCGCATCCGGCTCACCGTTGCCGCCGATGTCGCGCAGGCATGCCGCGAGCACTCCCACTCGAAACGGGTGCGGGGCCAGCTCCCCGCTGGCATTGCGAAACACGATGACCTCTGGGACATGCGCCGCGCCGTACGTGGGAATCGGATAGGGCAGCCTTTCGAGGGCCCTGCCCAGAGACGACGCTCGGCACAGGTTCTCCTCCTGCGTGCCGATCTGATTGCCTCTCCATCCGCCACCGGGCTCCGAGTCGCTAGCAAAGTCGAGCACGCACACGTTTGAGCACGCACGAGACCTGTAGAGCCACTGCGCCGCCTCAAAGCTGCCGCAGCTCATCACATGAACGTTCATGTGCTGATGCGAGGAGGCCGCTGCCGTGCCTGTCCGAGGCGGCGCAGTGAGCACCGTGCCGCGGGCCGCGGGCTCGCGTATCTTGCCAGTCGACAGGAGCCGGCACGTCTCGTCGGCCAGTGCCTTGGGCGCTACCATTTTCTCGTGTGGCGTCGGTACGGTACTGGCGGTACTAGGTCGCGTCCGACTGCATGCAAAAAAGAAAAAAAACGTTAGGCACCGCCCTTGCGCCTGGCACTAATCCTCGGGCGGCGGAGCGGCGCGGCGGCGGGCAGCGCGAGGCGGCGGCGCGGCGAGGCAGCGGGCGGCGCAGGGCGGGGCGGCGCGGCGGCGGGTGGGGTAATTAATTATTTGTTAATTCATTATTACTTAATAATCATCGGGCGGCGGCGCGGCGCGGCGGCGGGCGGCGCGGAGCGGGGCGGCGCGACCATCAGCAGACGCCCGGGCCTTTGGTCGCTGGAGCTCGGCAATGGTCGCGCCGCCCTCGACTCAAGGGGCTGCCTTCCACACGTCGCTGCTCAGGCCGGGGGAGGGGGGGAGACCTCCTGTTCCTCGCGGAACGGGAGCAGCCCCCTCCTTGCCCGGTCTGCGAAGCAGGGCGGTGGTCGTGCCATCTTCGCTTCAAAACGACCACGCCGCAATCGTCGCCGGCGCGCGACCCGTTCCCGGAGGCCGGACTGTCCTGGTCGAGAGTGTGTGCCGCCAAGGCGGGGCTACTCGGGGACAGTGCCGACGGGGCGCGGCTCGTGAGACGACTCCCGCGAAGGCACGGCTGGCATCCGTGGCGTGGGGCTCGCCTTCGAAAAGTCGGGCATGGCTCTCCCCGCAACTCTATCGCTAACACGCGCGCACCACCGAGACTGGGGTGGGCGCGCTGCGGTCGCACGTCTACCTCCGTCATAGTGCCACGACGTGCGGCCTAGAATTAGCACACGCGCCTCTGCTTGCATACACTCACACATTGGATTGTCATCGCCTGTGAGTGCGAGATTAGGGCTAGCCGCAGGCAGCTAGCCTCTGGAGGAGGGCGTCCATAGACACCTCACTAGACCCCACACACGGTCTCATCCGTGCCTCGCCGGGCGGCGAGATTGCTAGAGGTAGAGCAAGCCTGCTCTAGCCTCGCATGTCACTTCCTGTCGTCTGTTGTGTCGTTGTGCCCTTGTTTGTACTCTTGGCACCGTGGAGTGCTGGGGGGGGCGACAGGGAGGATATGGCCTTGAGTTATGTGTAAGCCGACTCAGGGTGTGTGGCAGCCCGCTGGCTGTGTGTCTTGTGAGCTTGTTTGTGTCTGTGTGTCGCTCGTGCGTGTCTTCATCATCTGTCCAGCGTCCACCCATACCGCGTTGGTGTCCAGTCCGAGCCTGGCTGTTCTTCACCTTTCTACCTACCTACCAAAGCGTGCGCAATGCGCTCGCCGACATCGAGCGAGCTCGCCTGTCCGAGGAGCGGCTTGCTGTGCGGACGGCTTCTTGTGGCTCTCGTCGAGAGCGTTTTGCGTCCCAGAGTGGATTGTAACGTGCGGCCTGACTTTCTAAATACTTCTCTCAGGTTCAACCACAAGAACGCAACCACAAGAACGGCTCTCTACGGCTCTAGTAGAGCCGTACGGCTCATCGCACAATCGCCCTCGCGGTTCTTAGGTTGATGGGACAATGCACTGGGGGCGTTGACTCTAACGCCTATCAGTAGTGTCTCTGGAGGAGCTCCTCCAATCTGGGTCCTCCAATGCGCATCTGGAGAATTCAGTGGCTACTAGCACAATGCGAGTGAGGGGCGTGTTCAAGAGGGGCTGCGTCTGCGAAGCAACGCAGCCCCGGGTGTATGATGCCGCCGCAGTCAAAGCGCGCGCGGCGTAAAGCAAGCGGCCGCAAACACGCACCGGGTGAGGCAGTGTCGGGGTAAGATCTACTGTGCAGAGCACATGTACATGTGCATGCACATGTCAAGGACTGCTCCGCGGGGCTCCCCATAGGCGAGTCAGTGACGTGGGCAAATGGCGCGCGCTCGCTGCAGATGCGGCCGACGCCGGCGCCGGATGGATGAGGAGGAGGGGCCGTGGAGGGGTCGTGTGACACTCACTGTCAATCGTGTCACGCTCATATCCCTAGGGCCACACCGGCGGCTGTACAAGCTATTACGACGCGACTATGGATGCGATCTTCACCGGCGACGCGCTCCTCATTAACGGGTGCGGGCGGACCGACTTCCAAGAATAACATTTTAGGACTATCTCAAGAAAAGGACCGCTGGGTGCGCTTCTTAGCTCCCCGGCCCTGGGCATGCGGTTACCGACTGCACTCCAAGTGCTCCAAGGACTCGCACCAGACTCGCACACCGCGCCATGCTCGCACATGCTGGGTTGCTGGACAGTCACCGCAACCCACAGGCATGCACATCGGGTGACGCCAAAAGCTCTATGCATAGCTCGCAGGGTGGCTAGACGCCGCCCTCGACGCGGCGTCCCGAGGGGTGCAGCACGGTGGCGCCGCCCGTCAGCGCGTCGTTCACCTCGGGGTTCTGCAGCAGCGGTATCGCCGAGCAGCACGCGGCGGCGGGGTCGCCGCTCGCGGCAAGGGAGCCGAGCCAGTACTCGTTGCCGGGGTAGGCATTGCCGTCCCACGCGTACATGGCCACCTGGGGCGAGGCCGATCGCAGGCGTGACTCCCAGCAACGCTGCTGCCACTGGTGCAAGAGAGCTGACTGACTGCACCCCCTGCTAGAGAAGCTTGCGGCGTGTACTTGTGTCTACTACGGCCACACCAGCAGCAGCGGCTGCTCGGAGGACGGTAGCCGCGCCGCCGGGTTGCGGTTCGAGAAAAGGACCTGGCGGACCGCGCCGCAGCCCGCGCCGTGGCGGAGCGACGTCGCCTCGTTGCACTCCGACGGGAACCAGGAGAAGTCGAGCGTGTCGATGTGCTCCAGCTGCGGTGCGAGCTCCTGACAGGGAGAGGCAGAGGGCTTACATGGAAGACGCCAGCACCACACTCCTTTCCCATCAACTCCCTGTGTGATGGCGGCGAGCCGTCCTCCCTTGCGGCGTTTGTCTTCTGTCTTTCTTTTTTGTGGGGCGGAGCTCCTGCAGCGCCGCCTCGAAGGCTTGCACCATCAGCGTCGCCTAGAGACAGTCACACGCTTTGAGGCGTCAGCCGTGTGCGATCTCGCGCGATCTCGTGTGATCTCGTGTGATCTCGGGTGACCGATCTCGGGAGATCTCGCCTGATCCTGGGCGATCTCGCGCGATCTCGCGCGATCTCGCGCGATCCCGGGTGCTCTCGGGTGATCTCTCGCGTGATCTCGCCTGCCGGCCATCCACCATCCACACGCCGAGGCCCAGCCCCACCACGTGCGCGTACGCCTTGGCGCCCTTCTCCTTGGCGCGGTCGCTCGCCTCCCGCAAAAAGGGGTCGATGCCTGTTCACGGCTGGAGAGTGTGAAGAGGCGTCGTTGTGCGCCGAGGCCGCCTCGAGCAGCAGAAGTGTTCGATGCTCAGTCGCATCCGCCGCTTGTACAGGTCGGTGTCGAGCAGCGCCGGCGACGAGCAGCCGTACATATGGACTTGAAGGAAGGCGTCCGGCTCCTACGGAAAAGGAAAGAAAGACAGGTCGCTGCACAAAAGTCACCGTGCGGTTGGACTTGAAGAAACGCGTGCGGCTCCTACAAAAACGACAGATCGCTGCGCAAAAAGAAACCATGCAGCCGCACTTGCAGGAGGGCGTCCGGCTCCGTCTCCCGCCTTGACACCGCCTCGTCGTACGTCGGCAGGTGCTCCCGCCTGCTCACACCAACGCCTGTGACGAGGCGCCGTTCACACCGCCTCGTCGCACATCGGCAGCTGCTCCCGCCCGTAGAGCCGCGCCCACGCCGCGAGCAGCTCCCGCCGCTCCTGCGGTAGCAGTGCCAGCAGAGTCGGGGTGGTGAAGGCGGCATCGCGCCCCGTGCGTACCCGGAGCACCGCGTCGATTCAAGAAGGGCTGCGGACGCCGTGAATCGCTGTTGTGCAGACAAGCAATTGACCGCTGTTGTGCAGTGAAGCAATGGAGCGTGTCCTCTCGAGCGCCGGAATACATTCCTCCGATTTCAGCTTCTCTAAGCCCCCGCTCCTCGCAACCGCCGCCGGTGCCGCCGCCGCCGCCCGAGCCGCTGTCAGCCATCGTCTCGGCTGTCGACGCAGCCACTCCCGCCGCCACACCCGCCGCCACTCCCGCCGCCGGCCCGTAGCCGTTCTCGGCCGTGTTTTGCTCCGCTGTCACCAGCGTGTGCGCCCACTCCATCCGCCCCACCTGAGGTGAGGTGAGGTAAGGCAGACTTCACCACACACACGAGGCCGCGGGGGCAAGGGCCGGGCAGCCCTCGCGACTCCACGTCTAAGAGGCAGGAGCTGGCACGGCATTCAAAGTGCAAGGCCCGGTGCGCGCGGGTGGGCGGCGCCTTTTCGTACCGCGCGCCGATGACGCCGACGTACACGCCCGTCCTACCCTCGCACCAGCGAGTAACGAACCACTATACTCGTCCCGATGCGCAGGGCCGGCAGCACGGGCACCTATTGTTCATTGCTAGATTTGATGAATCACCAGTGATGACCAGCATGAGCAGCTGGCAGCACGAAGCAAGGCACCGCTCGAAGTCCCCGGGCCGGCCACGGTGGCCGCGGTTGGACCGATCGCCTGCGGCACACGGGCCACGTGCTCGAGAGACTAGGAGCGCTCTCGGAACCCTCTCGGAGCTGTCTCGGAGCTGTCTCGGCGCCGTCATTGTAAAAGTGCGTCGGCACAGCGACGGAGAGGAGGGCGGCGATGGCCATCTCGTCGTACGACATGAGCTGCTCGAGGCGGAGCGGGCCAGCGCTCTCGTCCGCGGTGCCGATCCTCTCGAAGCCTCCCGAGCCTTGCGTCACGCCGTCTCGAAGGCGGTAGTCGTCCGACGCGTTCAGAAACGCGAGCGGCCGGCAGCGGAGCATGCGGTCGAGGAGGGCCGCCGGTGTCATGGCGGCGTAGAGCCGCCGCTCGACCGCGCTCCCGAGCCGCTTCTTGGTGCGCAGAAAGGACTCGAGGAGAGGCACCACGCGCTCGTGCAGCACTGGCCGAACCGCAGCCGCGTGGTCCGCCCATTCGCGGGCGAGGGTCGGGTCGGTCTGCGCGCGCTCCAGGTCGTCGAGCGCGGCGGTGGTCGGAAGCGGGAGGTATGGGAGGCGGCCGACCGCCTCGTGCAGCCTGCGCACCACGACGGCAGCGGACTCCACCATCGTCGCAACGCCGACACTCACGGGGGCAACCCGGAAGTGGGTCAAAATGACCACCCGACACGTGTAGGGATCCTAGGTTCTCGAGGTTCTCGAGGTGGATATCCTTTGGCCGCGTTGGGTAGCGAGGATTGGTGTAACCCGAGCCACGGAGGCGTGTTTTCTGACGGCCGACCGTCAGTGCACGGAGTTGCCCCTTCTCCGACTGCCCCGGCTAGTTCACGGGTTTCGCGGGAGTGACCCCGTGCGTCAAACCCGAGACCTAGCGCGGGTGGGTTGGAGGGGGCTCGCCCCGTTCCTCCCCATCGGGCCGCATGTGCGGCCACGCCTCGCAGATTCGTTTCTCGCGCCTGGGTCAGGCGCGCGGGGCATCCCCCGGGTCGCTCGACCAGCGATCCGAAGAGTGGCCGCTATGAGAAGGAAAGAGCGGGGCCCTCGGGGTACGCCTCCGTCCGGCCCCCTCCGAGGGGGGAAGGGAATTGCGGGGTCCCCACGGGCGCCTCTCTTCGGCCCTCCCGAGGGGGGGAGGGGAGCAAGGGGGTGGGGGGATCGGGGCGGGGGGGAGGGGTCTCGGGTTTCGTGTGGCTAATACTTGCCTTCCGGGGAGGGGCCTCAGGCCGGCTAGCGCAGTGGCGCCCGCACGACGTCTTCCCCTCCTCCCTCGAGGCAGCGAGTAGGCAGCGAGTGGGAGAATCGAGCCCGGCCTGTATATTTTCGAGTGCGAGGCGTGTTGGGGGAATGGCAATCATGAAAAAGAAAAAGATGGCCTCAAATAAAAGCGCGCCGAGTATGAACATGTCGAAGCAAAACCAAAAACCTCTCGTCCAGCTGGGCAATCCAGTAAGTACCGCGTATACCACGAAAGCAAACAATACGCCAGCGATGCATGACTTGAAGACAAAGCTGACTCGGTTCCGATTCTCAGCCAGCACGACGTTGCCGAGTAAATCGCGTGCACTGAGAGGCCGCCGACAGATAAACCAGATGATTGCTCCCAGCACAAACATGGCGGACCAGTGTACTGGCGTCCAGGAGGGCCGTTCAATGATTGGTTCGACCGTGAGCGCGATGTCATTGGTGGCAATCGACCCCCCGCAATTCACTGCCCATTTGGCTAAGCGGAAGGGCGGAGAGGAGGAGTCATACGAATCGAAACGAGCTCTTCCACGAATCGTGATACAGCTGCCGTCGCCATCGAGGTCCCATGAGGCAGTCGTGCTAGGCGCATTACTGCCGACAATCCAGCCGGCGGGAGTGCCGCCGCCGTCGCAGTCGGGGTCCCAATAGACGTAAGACGAAGAGCTGCGGTAGTACGGGGCTCTGGCAGCAGTGAGGCCCGCGAACGCGTACTCCACGTCGTGAAAGGGAAACCAATGACTTGAGCACAGCCCGGTCATAACAAACGACCGACATACGGATGCGATTTGGACGTTCGCGGCAACCCACTTCACCCCATTCCATTTAAATGCGCCCATCACGTGAGATGTGGGCGGGTACAGCGACGAACTGAGGCACGGGACTGGCGCGCACTGGCACTAACACAGGTACACCACGGGAGCCGCCTAAACGACTGTCGGTGCAGCTCTGTCTGGCTGGACGGCGCTCGCTCGCGGACGAGGCGCAGCGCGCCATTCGTGCGGCGTCGCGCGGCCACGAGGGGCCGCGGGGAGAGGCTAGTGGGATGTGGGGCTCTAAGGGGAAGGGGGCGAGGGGGCGCCCAGTAGGGCGCCGGCACCGCGGCACCCCAGCGTAGAGGGCGCGGTGTAGCCCTCATTCTGTGTATCGCGCGCCTTCTACCTACGAGCTCCTAATCTAAAATCTGAGGATTCAGGATTCAGGCATCGCTTCAGTGGGGCCAAAGTGAGTTTATGGATGTGTGAGAACGGTACGGGACACGAGGAGTCACGCGGACCGACTCGTCGGTGACTCTGCTGCACGCCGTTTCAGATTTTTTCTCAGCGTGAGCGAGACGTGGAAGAGTGCCACCATCGGGTAGGACGGGTCGGCCCGGAGCATCAGAGTAGCCGTCGTGGTCGCGGCGAGCAGCGCCGGCCACTCCGGCGCCGCGTCGGCACCGTGGGAGCATGTCCACCGCCACTTCGCGGTCGCAGCGCTGCTTGTCGCCCGAACGCCGCATATCCCTATGGCGGGCCAAAGATCGACTCGCATGTCGATTTTGACTCGAACGGCGGCATGGAGGCATCACGTCTCCATGCCGCCGTTACGTTAACCATCTTCTCATTCACAGCCTTGTTGTTGAGAAGAAAATACCTCCTATGGCGCTGTGCGCTGGCATGTGAGAGGTTGAGGTGCGAGCCCTGGAGGCCCTGGGGATGGGGGGGGACTACCCGCGGGCTTAGAAGGCCGCGCGCAGGGGGGTGGGGCATTGAGACCGGTCATGAATGAGTGCGCGACACGCATGTTGCGAGCAGCGTTGTTGATGTTTTGCGCATCGCCACTGACGGCGGCGCGCGAGAGCTGTTAGTTCACACACATCAAAAGTGAGAATTTTACAACAAAACTCCCTCGTCAAAAGTGAGAAGATCTCTCTCAAAAGTTAGAATTTAGACAAAACAACTCGCTCTCACAGCACACAGGCTCGACACAGGTGCGAACTGGCGCGTGCTAGTACTATCACCGGCACACCACCGGAGCCGCCTAAGCGACTCCGTTAAGAACGGCAATGCACTTAGCTCCGTGCACAATGCCGCTGTCCCCGCACGCTAGCTCGTTCACCGTCTGCCACGCCACGGCGGTGTGGAGAACGACAGACAAGCGCTGCATCTGCAGCCCGTGCCAGTTCTTGGTGGTCCATGTGACCTCATCGAGGTGCTGAGCGTGCGAAAGTTTGTTACTCAGCTGGTCCGCCGCCTGCCGAAGAATTCTGCGGACGCCGTCCCCGAAGCCGCCGAACGTCTCGAAGTCGAGCAAGCGCAGGTCGCAATTCTTCTCCCGCGCGAACCGGTACTCGCCCTTCTCGTAGCGGGCCGTCACAGGTGCCCCCGCCTCCGCCTCCCCCTCACTCTCCCCCTCCTCCTCTTCCGCCGCCGCCGCCTCCGCCTCTGCATCCTCCGCCTCCCTCCCCCCCTCCCCCCCCCCTCCCGGCCGCGGCCATGCAGCATGCCCTAACACTAAGTCGAGCAGCTCCCGCTCGGTGTTGCCGAAGGCGACAAAAGCCCCCTTCCAGCCGAGCCGATCGCCACCCTTGCACGCAAGCGAGCTCGTCAGTTTCAAGTCGCCAACGAGGCGCACATGCCCTTTGCCGATGTTCGCCGCCGCCACGTCAGGTTGTTGTTTTGAACCATCTAAACATTCAGCAACCCGAATCCCTCGACCACCACAGACTACGACCTCTTGCCAGCTCTGCGCATGTGCAGAATGATCTGCATGCGCAGAAGTGGCCTGAGCACCACTCGGAAGCTAGCCTGAAGGAACCAAGAAAGAGGTCCTCACGAGAGGTCCTCAGGAGGTCCTCAATGGACAGCGTGGGAGCCAGGACCTCACCAGACACCCGTGCACCCCTGCATGACGCGCACTGGCACTAACACAGGTACACCAAAAGAGCTCTTCCCAAAGGTCCTCTCAGTCAACAGATTTTGTCTCCTGTGAGATTTTTGAAAACAACAAGAAAATAACGCAAAAAAATAAAAACACTTTCGTGCCCGACTTTGTTCGGGACCAACTCAAGTCGCAGCCTCCATGATTGCCACAGCCGCCGACACCCGGCCCCGCCGCATCGCCGCCCTTTCGCTTGCCGCCATCGCCCTCACCTGTTTCGCCGCCGTCTACCACGCCGGCGTGCTTCCTCAACCCGACGAGTTTGGCCGCCAGAAGGACGCCGCCACCTTTCAGGGCGAGGAGAGCTGCAAGTCGCGCAGCGGGCCCATCCACTCTTTCATCAACTCCGCGGTCGACAAAGTCGTTGCCAGGGTGCCCGATCGCCGTGCGAGCCCGCATTCTCAACGCCTCCCGCTTCAAGCCCGCATCCACGCCTCCCGCGCAGTGGCCGCCGCCCCGCCACCTCGCCACACGGTGCGAAATGCTTCGCTCACTCCCACCAGGTGCCCGGCTCCAAGATCTCCGACCTGCCCGTGGAGGCAAACATCAACGTCGGACCCGTCAAGGTCACCATCTCCGAGCTCAAGATCGAGGCGCTGTCGGTCGAGTCGGTCGACTACGACTCGTGCGGCGGCTTGCGGAACGGGCTCAAGGTGACGCTCCACCTCTTGGAACTAGCTCGGCTCACTTCTCGGCTCAATTTCCTCTCGGATCCACTTCTTCTCGGCTCCACCTCTCGATACCTCCCGATATCTCCCGATATCTCCCCATCTCTCACGGTCGTCGTCATCCTACAGTGTGCGTAGCTCCTCGTCTCCCACATCTCCCACAATCTCCCACAATCTCCGACCATCTCCCACAATCTCCCACAATCTCCCACAATCCCATCAGGTCCACCTCACCGGCATCGACCTCGGCGTCGGGCTGCACTACGACGAGCCCGGCAAGTGGGGCCGCGGCGCCGCCAGCGGCGACGCGCGCACCGCCGTCACGGGCACCATCGACCTCACCATCTCTGAGCTCTCCGAGGTGACGGAGTGCGAGGGCCACCTCTCTGTGGGCGAGACGGAGCTGGTCGGAGAAAAGGCGGGCGATAGGCAGAGACGGGCCGAGGTTGGCCGAGAGATGCCAGGAGTGCCGACACTCGCTGAGATTCGCCGAGGTTGGCCCAGAGTGGCCAGGATTGGCGTGACTAGCCCAGATTGGCCGAGGTCCGCCGAGGTCCGCCGAGGTCCGCCGAGGATGGCCGAGGTTTCCCTCCCTCCCTAACTGCCGGCTTCTCGGAGAGACAGGCGGGCGAGCGCGCCGCCGACGTCTCGAAGCTTCCGCTTCCGATCGGCAGATCCCCGCTTCGGCCCGCTCGGCTGTGAGACGAAGAGAGGTGAGCTGTGAGCCCGGCTCTGTGAACAGGCAAGATCCTGTGCTACGGCCCGTCGGGCATCCCAGGCGCCGCGTACCCATATCTTTCCATATCCCCCCCATATCTCCCCATATCTCGGGCATCCCAGGCGACCGGGTACCTCCCGATATCTCCCCATATCTCCCCATATCTCCCCATATCGCGGATTCACAGCCGCGTGGACTGCGGACCCGCAGGCGGCCGTATGGCCCACGTCGAGATCTCCGGCGCGGAGGGCTCCAAGCTCGAGGGCAAGGGTGGCCTCCGAGGGGCGGGCCGCGATCCTCCTGCTGTGAACGGCGCCTCTTCACGCCCGTTGCCGTGCACAGGCGGCTCTTTCGAGGGGCTGGTCGCGATGCTCAACAGTGCGCTCGCGGCGCTCCAGGACAAGAAGCCAAAGATCCTCGGCTGAAGCGGGGAGCGTCTACGCGGTGCCGCCCCGCTGGGCGTGCTCCGAAAAGAGAGGGGCGTCGTCGCTTCCTCTGTCGGCGGTGTGTGTGTCTGACATGACTGTTTGCGCGGAGATGGCGCATGTGCGTGCCCCCGCAACATGGCGAGGGCGCATGATGGACTATGGTGTGCGGGCGGGATGAACTTGTCGGAAATGGAGGTAACTTGGTGCGGCTCGCCGCTCGCGGTACCTGGTGAGCCGGGATAGGGCAAAATCTGGGGCGAATACGAGGGACAGAGGTCGCAAGTTGGTCGCGCAAGTTGGTTGCGCGGCGTGGCGCTGCCCGCCTGCCCCGCTGCCGAGGGCGCCACCAACCCGTGGCGGCGGCATTTCCAGCCCAAATTGGGCGTTCCGTGCGAGGGATCCCAGGCGACTGCCTGATACGAGGGACCCGGTCGCCTGCGTGGGGATCACACAGATCACCTCCGCTGCAGCCCAACCCTACTCTCATCGTACTTGCAACCCGAGGGACCGGAGGGCTTTCGCGACAGCGACGATGACGACGAAGAAAGGGGAGGGTGCACATGCACATGCACATGCACATGCACATGCACATGCACATGCACATTGATATTGCATGTGTGTTCGAAACATCGAAAAACTATTTGTGATAGTGTGGCGGCGCGCGCGCTGCCGCCACATCGACACCCTTGTCGACACCCCCCACCCACCCTCCCCGCTCGCTCGAGCGCCATCAAGCCCGCGCCTGCTGCCACTCTCGAATCTGCCGGCGCAGAACGTGGATGGTGGAGAGGAAGGTGTGCTCGAGCGCCTCGCCCGTCATCGGACTCGTCGACTTGGTCGCGAGCCAGCGCTCCATCGCCGTCCGCTCGTACGCATGCCCGTCCGCCGCCATCACCGGGTCTATCATCAGCTCGGTCGTAATCGGGCAGATGAAGTCGGCCGGCGGCTCCTCCTCCCTCGCAGCCGGCGCCTCTGCAGCTGCCGACGGCCCTTGCGCCTCCGCCGCCCGCCTCTCCTCCTCCAGCCTCGCGCTCTCCTCGAGCGCCGCCGCCAGCTCCGCCTCCTCCGCCGCCGCCAGCGCCCCGTCCTCTTCCTCCTCTCCCACCGCCGCCTCGGCCTCTTCCTCCTCTCCCACCGCCGCCTCGGCCTCTCGCGACGGCCCAGCGCTTCCCCCGCCGCTGCCCTTCTTCTTCTTGTTCCGCTTCTTCTTCCCCTTCTTCTTCTCCTTGGCGCGCGCCTCCGCCTCCTCCTCCGCCAGCAGCTCCTCAGCGTGCCGCGCCGCCTCGGCCTCCCTCGCCGCCGCCTCCAAAGCGCGCTCGCACTCGGCGTGGCCCTTCTCCTTGGCAAGCTGCAGCGCCGTATGCCCCTCCGAGGCGCGCGCCGCTGCGTCTGCGCCTGCCCGCAGCAGGAAGCGCACGACGGCGGGCTGGCCGTTCTCGCACGCAACGTGCAGCGGCGTGAAACCGTCTTCCTCGGCCTGATTGATCGCCGCGCCGGCGCCGAGGAGCAGCTGGATGCACTCAAGGCGGCCCTTCTCGCACGCGATGTGAAGCGGCGTGGCGCCGTTCAACTTGGCTTGGTTAACCGCCGCGCTGGCCTCGAGGAGCAGGCGGACGACGTCGAAGTGGCCCTTATGGCACGCGACGAATAGCGGCGTGGCGCCACTGACATGGGCTTGGCCGACCGCCGCGCCGGCCTCGAGGAGCAGCCGGACGCACTCGAGGTGGCCGTTGTGGCACGCGATGAACAGCGGCGTGGTGCCGTCGTTTAGACCTTGGTCGACCGCCGCGCTGGCCTCGAGAAGCAGCCGGACGCACTCGAGGTGGTTGTTCTGGCTCGCGATGAACAAAGGCGTGGCGCCGCTCATCTCCGCTTGGTTGAGCGCCGCGCCAGTCTCGAGAAGCAGCCGGACGCACCCTAGGTGGTTGTTCTGGCACGCGATGTACAGCGGCGTGGTGCCGTCGTCACTGGCTTGGTCGGTCGCCGCGCCAGCCTTCACGAGCAGCTGGGCGCACTCGAGGTGGCCGTTGTGGCAGCGGCGTGGTGCCGTCATCCTTGGCTTGGCTGACCGCCGCGCCGGCGCCGAGGGGACTGGCGCGCACTGGCACTAACACGCGCGATAAAAAATGTCCCGAATAGTCACACTCACACACACACGTGCGAGCACATATGACGCACAATGCCCGGACACGAGGAGCGGGCGCGTTAAGCCCTGCCCCTGGGACTCTGTCAGGCCTCTGTCAGGCCTCTGTCAGGCCTCTGTCAGGACTCTGTCAGGACAGGTGTGGGAGCTCCACAAACCACGTTCTGTGCTCATCCCTGCCACCCATGTGCCATCGGCGCACCGCCAAGGGACGCAGCAACAGCAGAACCAGAAGCAGCTGCAACCTCGTGCAACCCGGCCCGCAGCGCCCGCACCTGCCTTCGCCCTAGGAAGCCACGGATCATGCCTGCGATCTTGCTCGCTGCGCGCGTGCGCTGCTCCTTCTCCACCGCTGCTCCCTGCTCGCCGCCGCCACCGGCCTGCCCCGCGATCTCCTCCGCGATGGTGGTCCACTCGCCCCCACTGCCCACGCGGAAGACGGGCAGGTCGGCGGGCAAGTGCCCCCGCCCCCGCATGCTGCGCAGCTGGGCCAGCGAGTACGTCTCCACCGAGCACTCGCCCGCCCTCGGCCCCTCCACCGCCGCGGTGTAGTAGCGCGGCTCGGCGTCGGCGGACAGCGGCGGGAGGGCGGTGGCGAAGCGGCGCACGAGGCCTGACCACGCTTGCAGCGCCGACTCGCCAAAGCCTAGGATCGGTAAACGCCCAGGTCAGTGGGGGAGAAGCGGACAGGGTTGGTGTCGGGGTTAGGGTTAGGGTCGGGATAGGGTTAGAGCTAGGGACGTCTTCACACGGGAACTATAGGGGGTAGCCCAGGCACGCCTTCGCCGGGAGCCGCGCACGGCGGCGGAGCGGCGGCGGGCACTCCCCTGCTGCGGGGGCCGGCGCCCGGCTCGCAAGCGGCGGCGAGGGAGCAGGAGGCGGCGGTCGAGGCGGCGGCGACGGTGGCGGCGGCGACGGTGGTGGCGGGCCCGTCGGGGGCGGCGATGGAGGCGGCGGCGACGGCGGAGGAGGTAACGGCGGCGGCCGAGCCGGCGGCGGCCGTGACGACGGCGGGGGCTCTCGCTGCCGGAAGCTCGCACTGCGGGGCGACTTGGCGCTTGGGGGCGAGCCATGACCCAAGGAGGGGGCGGGACCTCTGGAGGCGTAACTGTTCTGCCGCCTCCGACGGCGGGGCCTTGAGGTCGCCGATGATGGCCCAGCGGCCCGCAGGGATGCTCAGCTCGATAACGAGGCAAGGGACGTAGAGGAGGAGGCCGGAGAGGAAGAGGTAGAAGCCAGGGCCGAGCGAGGTTGAAATGACGCCGCGCCAGTTCGCCTGCAGCACCGTGGCGATGGCGCTAAGAGGTTCCTCTTTTCCGCGCCCTCCCCGCAAGGCGCGCGATACACATCGCCTGAACTTCGACGCTGCACGCGAGGCCGTAGTGAATCGTGATGGCCGCCGCCCAGATCAGAGGCACCGCCATCGACCAGACCAGCAGACCCTTCTTGCCGCGATCGGTCCTCGCGGTGCCGCGTCTGTACCCGACCGCCTGCAGCGCCAGCCAAGAGACCAGAAGCGCCGCGACGCAGAAGGCCATCACGCGGAGGGTCTCGGAGGCCTCGTCGCAATCCAAGATGTCGTTTGTGTACCTCAGCTCCATCCGCTGCGGAGGGTAGTACCTGCGGACCACCAAGCGAGGGGTGCGTGGGCTGCGGGTGGGTGGGCGGGATCGCAACGGGGTCTCGGGCTTGTGGATGCCGCCAGTAGTCGTTGCAAAGGTCCTGTCGGACGTCGCAGTCATCGAACTGCTTGCGGAAGGCGCCGAGAAGGACGTCCACCGACTCGCACCCATATGCTTCGGGCTGGTTGGGGATGCAGGTAGTCAGGAGCGTAGAGTTTTCCGCGTAGAGTAGTTCTCCGCGTATAGTATACCATTCCAGTGGGACCGTCACATTCACTGGGACCGTCACACTCCTCCTCACATAGAGGTAGAGGTGGTGACCTTGAAACCCCGCCTCGAAGCTATGCCGTTCTTTGGAGTAGACCTGCGTGCAGTTCGCCATCGTGGCAGGCCAGCTCCAGCTGACGCCCGCTGTGGCCGATGTCGTGGACGGCGAGCACGCAAAGTTTGTGCCATCGCGTGCGCGGTACGCGTGCGTGACAAACAGGGGTTCCGGTCCCTGCAGCTCTGGAATGATCACTTTCCGGCCCGACGACGCCTCCAGGAGTGTTTTCAGGAGCCTCAGTGTGTGGGCGGCGTGGAAGGAGTGGTGATTTTCGTTGAATGCGTAGAAAGTATCCTCCATCACATCGTGCGTAAAGCAGCCATTGTCGTCCGCTCGATCGCCGGTGCCGCGCCCGTCCCTGTCTAGGCAAGCACGCCGAAAGCCAAGGGAGTACTTTCCGGAGATATTGGTTGCGTCCACGTCCATGTACTCCTGCACGACTGACGATTCCCGAGCCGCGAACGTCGGCGCATGCGAAGCATTGACCGACCCGACATCGTACTCGTAAATTGCGTCATCGTCCACGTACCACAGCACCCACGGCAAGGAAGTAACGGCGTGGGCGTGCAAACTGTTACCAGCGAGCGCAGCGGTCAATACACACGCCAACGCCGCCACCGTGAGGAAAGCCTGGACTAATATGAGCCGACGCCGGTGCTTGCTCGCGCATCGGCATCCCCAGGGGTCAGAGAGCACGCAGCACAGGACGGTGGTGACCATGAAGAGAGCGAGGGAGGGAGAGAGAAAGGCGGCGGAGCAGAGGCAACGAACCTGGACGACTGAGCAAAGGAAGAAATTACCAGCGAGACTCCAAGTGCTCCAAGAAAATCCAGCGCCTTGTGTGTGTGTCCGCGGAGGCGGCGTGGGGCCGCCGGCGGCACTGCTGCCGCGCACGCTGCGCTGTGGGCGTCACCATCGTGTCCTCGCGCCGCGTCGCCGACGCCACTTGCGGCTCGCGGCTGCCCTGCCCTTCCCTGCCATCGCGCAAACAAACACAAAAACAAACACACACACGCACGCACACACACACACATTATTAATGATCGAGTATTAATTATTAATTATTAATCATCGGGCGGCGGCGATGGCTGCGCCGCGGTCCCGCACCCGTCGACGCAGCTCCCCCCGCGGAAGACCGCGCGTAGCGACGTCTTGACGATCGAGATGAGCGTGCCTGAAGCTCGCCCACCTACTGCCCCTGAGAGTTGGTTATTGAGTGGGATCAGCTCCCCCCCTTGGGATCGAAGCCGCCACAACCTCACACCCAACATCTCAGGCGGGATCAGAAGGGGACTCCACACCGGACACCGCCCGGGCACAGCCCCCCTACCCGTCGGATCGCACAGAGGGCCCCCTCGGAGCAGCCCACACACAATCACGCATCGCCACACACACCCTACCTGCTCCGCATCTCGAACCCTGCGTTTCGCTGGGTTTTGACCTACGTTCTCGCGCGCCTCACACACATGAGGCTCGCAGCGATCGCTGCCCTTCCCGTCGCCTGCCTGGTCGGACCGTGGCCGTCCGCGCCGCCACACGCTCCCCGCGCTGCGGTGCCGCGCGCGGCCATTGTGAGCGGCTCGACGCAATACGGCTACGTCGAGCAGGCTTACTTGCAGCAGCAGGGCTATGAGGACGGGCGCGGGCACCAGGGTTACGCGCAGATCGTGTGGTCGCTGACCGGTCCCACCGGCGGCCAGTACTTTGTCGAAGCGGGAGGGCAGCAAAAGCTCGGCCGGTACGCGAACCTAGAAGCGGAACGCTGTTCTTGTATTCCGACTAGTGCTCGCGAGGACACGCAGTCCGCTGCATCCCGCAGTTATGACTGTTTCTGCATCCCTCGCATTCGTGCGTGCCACGAGTACTCTTCCCCCTCCCCTTCCCCCCCCTGACCTCGGTGTATTCAGGTACGACACGCAGTCTCAGCTAGATCTCGGCTAGATCTCGGCTAGATCTCGGCTAGATCTCGGCTATATCTCGGCTAGATCTCGGCTAGATCTCGGCTATATCTCGACGCAGGTACGACACGGCCTCGCAAAAGGCGACGGTCTCGCGGCTGCAGTGCGTGGTGCGGGCGGACCAGCACGGCGGCGCGGCGGTGGTGTCGGTGGTCAAAGACAGAAAGAAAGAAAACAGAGCACCCGAGGGAGGGCATTTATTCGTCCACCCCATTTTTCTTTTTTATCTAGGTGGGCAAGCCGCTCACCGGCTGGCGGGCCGCGCCCGGGACGCCTTGGCAGTGGCTGCGCGGCGAAAACTTTGGCGAGGAGCGGGCGCTGTTCGAGGGCGCGACGACACTTCCGAGACACCTCCGAGACACTTCCGAGACACCTCCGAGGCCTTATGTGGCAGCTCTGTTTCACCGCCAGAAACATCTCGGCCGTATCTCGGCTGCATCTCGGCTGCATCTCGGCTGCATCTCGGCTGCATCTCGGCTACATCTCGGCTACATCTCGGCCATATCTCGGCTACATCTCGGCCATATCTCGGCTCTATCTCGGCTCTATCTCGCAGGCGCGCAGCTCAGCCTCGACCAGAGCGACCCGGAGCGCGAGGTCTTTACGGTGCGCAAGGAGGGAGGCGCCGCAGACCAGCAGCAGCAGCAGCAGCTGCAGCAGCAGCAGCAGCAGCAGCACGACCACCACCAGGGGTACCAGCGGCAGCAGCACAGGCAGCAGCAGATGCAGATGCAGCAGCAGCACCAGCAGCACCAGCAGCACCAGCAGCACCAGCAGCACCAGCAGCACCAGCAGCAGCAGCAGCAGCAGCACCAGCCGGGCTACGAGCAGCCCCAGGGCTACGCCACAGCGGCACTCTACGAGGCGCAGCCAGCACCGCTTGGCGCTCAGCAAGGCCACGCGCCGCTGTCCGCCGGCCGCGTGTGTGTCTTCTGTTTTGCCAGCGTGCTTTCTCTCTTCTATAGGTGGAGGCTACGCGCCGCTGCCCGCCGGCTGGTGCGGGGCGGTCGAGAGGCTGTATCTCGGCCCACACCTCGGCTGTATCTCGGCTGTATCTCGGCTGTAGGTGTGCGGCGGTCGACGAGGCGTCTGGCCAGACGTATTACTACCACGAGCTAACGGGCGTATCTCAGTGGGAGCCGCCGCAGGCCGACCGAACCGTGTATTTCTTTTTCCAAGCGGGGTTTTCTCTTTTCTATAGGTGGGAGCCGCCGCAGGCCGAGCACGGGTACGGCGGCTACTCGGTGGACTTGCGAGGCGGGTACCGCTCCCGCTGACTCCTGCTGCGCGGCAAAGGGCTGGCTCGCCGGGGGGCGGGACTCGGTCTGCTCGGAGAGTTGGCGCATGAATGTCCGATGTGTCGGGGCATGCTGGGGTTTGTTGTGGGTTGGTGTGCGCGTGTGTCATGAACCTTAGGCTATGTGTCTGCCCCACGCGCATGGCATGCGAAGCTCTCGTCTTGAGTCGTCTGACAGCGGTGATTTGATCTCGTCCGGCGGAGTGGTTCTCTAGGTCTAGCTTCCGGGTCGAAGAAAATTAAATATTCTTACCTTATCTGCCTTGCCTCCGACGCTAGAGACAGTCACCACGGATACATAAAAAAATGTTCCAGTCTTAGCAAGCAAAAAGGAGCACACACGACTCAGCAAGTCCGCACGAAAAAAATTCTTTTTTAGCGTCGTTACCACATGGCGACGTACCCGTCCGTCCGGCCCGCCGTCGGGTCGGACGATCGCCCCACCTGGACCGCACCGCGTCGGACGACGCAGGCGAGGTCACTGCAAACCAGCGCATGCGCGTTGGTCTCGTGTCAAAACTCGTTCGCAGTGTTGAGCAATGTGCGCCGCACTACCTCAACTCTGGCACAGTCCTCGAGCATGCCCAGGGCTCCACTGCCAGCCACAAGTCGGCCTCAAAGCCGACTTGCGGCGGCTCAGCAGCAGCACACGGCGCGGCTTCACTGCGCTGGAAGGGCGACTGGCGCCGACAGGCGCCGACAGCCCTCCACTGTGCGTGCGGCCGTATGCGGGTTGCTTGCTGTGCTGCTGACTCTGGGGAAGCTCGGAGCGGCAGCAACAGCGCTCACCGCCGGTCAGCCCGCCGCAATCGTAGCGGCTGCGCCCGCTCGATGGCGGATTGTCGCGCCGACCTCGCCGCGAGGCGAGGTAACGGGTCCAGCATGCGCCAATCGCACACTCTGTGCGGTTCCACATGCACTCATGGCGAGGCGCTCACGCGCCTGGTTCTAGACGACGACGGAATTGAGGGGGTGCAGGTAGGAGAGACTGTTCACAAGATCTCGCAATTCGCAGATGACACGACGCTGCTGCTGCGCACGCTGGCCAGCCTGCCCGCGGTTTGGCGCATTCTCGATGTATACGAGTCGGCGACAGGCATGCGAGCCAACCCTAACAAATTTGAGGGCATTCTGTGTGGCGCCCTCCGCCACCGCGGCCTGCCAGCCGACCATCCAGGGCTAGCCGGCCAAGGCGCTCTAATTAATTGGCTAGCTTCAGGCCAGCGAACCAAATTACTAGGCATCCCGTTCTGGATTAATGATGAGAACGCTGCCGACTGCGAGGAGCAGTTCTGGGAACACCTCTACTTCCGCACCAAAACCGCCATGGCGAGATGGCGACAGGTGTTCACACTAACAGTCCACGGGCGTGTCATGATTGCAAACGCGATGGTCTACTCGAGACCTCGCTACTGGATGCAGGTCATGGCCGCCCCCAGGTGGTTTCATGACGCTATCGAAAGCGATGTGCGCGCCCTACTCTGGTCAAAGGATCCCACCTTCGACGGGGACGCCATCGGCACAGACAAAGACGGCCAGCCCTGGATTAGACGGGAGGCGCTGTCGCTCCGTAGACAAATAGACGAGCACGGGAACGGGCTCGGCCTCGCGCTCCTAGACTGGCCGAATCACGTTCGTGCTCTCCAGACCCACGCGCTACTATCCTACCTCGACGCCTCGCAGGCGCCCTGGAAGCTAGTACTCGATCAGTGGTTCGCCCGCTCTCACCTTCGTAGGGGCGCAGTACTCGCCGCTGTGCAAGAATGCGACCTGTGTCGGCCCCGCACAGAGGGGGCGCCGCTTCATCTCCCCTCCTTCTGGGTATCGGAGGGCCGGACTGAGGCGTCGAGGGCCCCGCTCTTTCCTTCGCATAGCGGCCACTCTTCGGATCGCTGGTCGAGCGACCCGGGGGATGCCCCGCGCGCCTGACCCAGGCGCGAAAACGAATCTGCGAGGCGTGGCCGCTCACGCGGCCCGATGGGGAGGAACGGGGCGAGCCCCCTCCAACCCACCCGCGCTAGGTCTCGGGTTTGACGCATGGGGTCACTCCCGCGAAACTCGGGAACTAGCCGGGGCAGTCGGAGAAGGGGCAACTCCGTGCACTGACGGTCGGCCGCCAGAAAACACGCCTGCGTGGATCGCGTCACACCAATCCTCGCTACCCAACGCGGCCAAAGGATATCCACCTCGAGAACCTCGAGAGGGCAGCGTGACTCGAGATTTGAGATTGAGACTGAAGGAGGCACGCTCGGCTTGCAATGCTTTGCGCCGCCGACACCGTCCATCTCGCCGCCGGCCTGAGGCGGTTCTCCACGAAGCTGTGGCCGCTCGAGAGTGAGGACGAGATCGTCGCGCTTCTCCTCGGCATGGCCCGCTACCCAGTCGACACACCCGACCGCGCAGAGCTCATCGCTGCCGACATGCAAACAAAGCACGCGTCCACGACCATCAACGTCCTCGTCAGCAGCATCGAGAGCGAGGCGGGCATCAGCGCTCTCGTGGATCTTCTCGACCGCAAGCGCTTCCATGAGCAGGAGAAATCCACGCCGCTCCACCTGGTCCCGCAGATTGAGTTCTGCGCCGTCTGCGCTTTGCAAGGGCAGAAGGTGTGCCTTGTGGTCAGCGACGAGCCCGTCCATCCGACCGTATACTGCACGCACGGGCGCTTTGGCGGGCTCCTCTACTGCAAGCGCTGCCCACATTGCCGCGCCAAGCACAACCTCTCATACGCCGAGGAGTCCTCGGCTGGCTCAGGGCAAGCAGGTGCCGTATGACGGCGCGATGGATCAGACTCGCAAGTACGTCCAGCTGTCGCGAGACATCATCTTTGAGGGCGAGATGCTGTGGCGCCTCGACACGCAGATGCTCCACTCGCACACCGGCTTTGAGCCGTACGCCAAGGAGTGGACGACCTTTGCCGACGAGCCGCCGCAGCTGGTCGAGCCTTTGCGGATAGCGCTGTCCCACGCCTGGCTCGCGTGGACGCTCCTCCGCTGGCGCGACGAGCTCCAACTACCCAAGGAGCCGCTGAGCTTTGCGTCGCCCACCCACCTCGACGAGACCTTGCTAGACTACACCATGCGTCGCGACCCAAAGACCGGCCGCTTCGACGCTGACTCGCTCATCGTTCGCTTCACCGACAAGTGGGGAAGGGAGCACGAGCTCGTCTGCCTCGAGCCCAAGGACGGCGGTCGAACCTGCTTGTGCTACATCATTGACGGACACATGAAATGCCGGAGGCTGATCTGCGAGAACAGGCGATTCGAGCCGTGAATCAGGGAAGTGTCGCGGACTCGTCTCAACAAGCGTCCATGTTTCTGTAGGAACGCTCGAGTCGTCCACCTCGGTGCACTAGCCACCTACTGGTAGCCCCGCCCCTATACAGTATTCCGGTTTGCAATGTCCTCGTTCCTGTTTGCAATATCCTCGTTCGCGGCATCGGCTAAAGCCTCTGACTCATCTGCGTAGACCGCGCGCGCAGCGCGCTCCGTGTTTGCAGACCGCCCTGGCGGACTCGTTTACACTTCCAAGCTCAGGCCAGGCGCCGCAGGCCATAAAGAGGAGCGCAGATTAAAATGGCGCCGCAGGCTCCCCGGGCCCCAAATCTCAATCTCAAATCTCAATCTCAAATCTCAGACCCAATCTCCCGGGCCCCAAATCTCAATCTCAAATCTCAATCTCAAATCTCAGACCTCAGACCTCAATCTTCCTGCAGGTCAAACCCACCCAGCCCTTCTAGAAGCTTCGAGGCTCTTATCAGTATTCACACCGCAAATCTCCAAATCTCAGCTCTCAAATCTCTAGGTTGGAAGGCCGTCCAAATCTTCAGTCTCAAATCTTGGATCTCGAGCAAACTCGACCGCAGATTCCTTTTGGTGTGCGAAATCTCATTCTCCAAGTCTCTGGTCTCTAATCTCAAAGTATCCCACCGGAGGCCGAGTGACTGAGGTCTCAAGTCTCAAATCTCTGGTCTCAAATCTCTGGGTAGCACTGTAGACCCGAGTGGAGTCTTTCAAATCTTTAAGCTCTCAATCTCTAAAAAAGACTAGAGATTTCCATTACCCCGCACTGCAAACCCAGCGTGAGGAGTGGGGGAGCTGGGACAGGGCGTGTACGCCTCTGATCTGTCATGGTCTAGTGGCCGATACGCGATAGGATCCTCCCTTGGGCAACGATGGCGGGTCGGGAGAGGCCCGACTTCATAGCCCGCCACTTACTGCCAGCCCCTCTGACTGCCCAGGGTCTCACCACGATGCCGCCCGAGTTCATCGCGCCACACGACCCCCCCCCCCCCCTGCGAACAGGTGCATCGGCTGTTGAGGTTGCACCAGCCACTATACGCCGCGCGATACGACCTCGGCGCGCTGTGCGCTTCTCGCCGCAATTCAGACCCTTTTGAGCCCGCCACGCCCTACACGGCGAGCCCAGACCAGTTCTTTCGAGAGTGGGAGCGGCGGCAGCAGCTAGAGGCGTCCGGACGCGACAGCATGGGCGACCCTCTGAACGGACTTGTGCGTCAGAGCTCCCGCCACCTCTACACAGCGTCGCACTAAGGACGGCGTGCTGTGTCTCACGCACGTGACTTAACACTTCAGGATAAATAGGTAGGTTGAAAGAAAGAAAACGCTACGGAGAGGCCAGACCGGCCGGGAAGGGAGGAGACGATATCGGTCCAATGCGTGAGCCGCCGTGGCTCTGGGCCCCGGCCCCGCCGGCCCCGCCGCGCGCCCCTGCGCGTGTGTGTGTGAGTGACTGAGTGTCGTCGGCGGGGTTCCAATGGTGAAGGCGCAAGTACGCACACGCGCACGGGGAAGAATAATAAAAGCAGAGACACTGGACTGGCGATCAACCGCATCAAGCAAGAATTTAAACAAAACAACAAGCAAGAATAAAGAACCAGAACTAACCACAAATGCAGTGCAGCACCACCAAGCGAGAAAGAAGAGGAGCGAGATCCTGGGGGGGTGGCTGCCACGAAGAAAACAGGCCCGTTGCTCATCGCACTACCACCCTTGGCAGCACAAAGCCGCGCCAGATGTCCGTCAGCTCTGGAGCCGCTCCCTCGCGGCCATCCAAACGCTCCTCGTCCCAAGCGATCAGGTAGCCCAGCCGCATCACCTCAACGCGCGCTTGCGGGCCGGCGCGGGGAAGAGCGAGTGGCTAGCCGGCGACCACGGCGCCGCTGCCCGCCGGATCAGCGCCGCCGCCTCGCCCTCGCCGCCCGCGGCGCGCCGCAGCGGCGTCGGCTCGCCCTCGTGCAGGCTTGCGCCGCTGCGCAGGAGGGAGGTGGCACGGGCGGCGGTGAGGGTCTCAAGGTGCGCGAGCGGCGTCCAGCCGCGGCTGGCGACCAGCCAGGCGGCGAGGTCGGCGTGGCCGCGGCGGTTTGCCGCCTCCTCGGGCGTGCCGAAGGGCGTAGCGGCGCGGGAGGCGCCGTAGGAGGAGAGCAGCTTGGCGACCTCGAGGTGGCCATTCTTGCATGCCATGAACAGCGGCGTGGCGCCTTGCTCATCGGCCTGGTCGATCGCAGCGCCAGCCTCGAGGAGCAGCCGAACGCACTCGAGGTGGCCGTTCTGGCACGCCATGAACAGCGGCGTGGGGCCGTTGTCGCGGGCTTGGTTGACCGCCGCGCCAACCTCGAGAAGCAGCCGGGCGATCTCGGGGTGGCCCTTCTCGCTCGCGATGAGTAGCGGTGTGACGCCATTCTGCTCGGCTTGGCTTACCGCCGCGCCAGCCTCGAGGAGCAGCCGGGCGCACTCGCCGTGGCCGTTCTGGCACGCGATGATCAGCGGCGTGGCGCCGTCGTTGCGGGCTTGGCTTGCCGCTGCGCCAGCCTCGAGGAGCAGCCGGGCGATCTCGAGGTGGCCTTTCTCGCTCGCGATGTACAAAGGCGTGGCGCCGTCGCTTCTGGCATGGCTTACCGCTGCGCCAGCGTCGCGCAGCAGCCGGGCGCACTCGAGGTGGCCGTTCTGGCACGCGACGTAGAGCGGCGTGGCGCCGTTCTGCTTGGCTTGGTTGACCGCCGCGCCAGCCTCGAGGAGCAGCCGAACGCACTCGAGCTGGCCCTGCTGGCACGCGAAGAACAGCGGCGTGGTGCCGTCATCCTTGGCTTGGCTGACCGCCGCGCCGGCGCCGAGGAGCAGCCGGACGCACTCGACGCTGCCATGCTTGCATGCGATGTACAGCGGCGTGAAGCCGCCGTCCTTGGCTTGGTTGACCGCCGCGCCAGCCTCGAGAAGCAGCTGGGCGCACTCGAGCTGGCCGTTCTGGCACGCGACGTACAGCGGCGCGGTGCCGTTATTCTTGGCTTGGTTGATCGCCGCGCGGGCGCCGAGAAGCAGCTGGATGCACTCGAGGTGGCCCTTTTGGCACGCGACGTACAGCGGCGTGGCGCCGTTCTCCTTGGCTTGGTTGATCGCCGCGCCAGCCTCGAGGAGCAGGCGGGCGCACTCAATCTGCCCCTCCTGGCACGCGATGTACAGCGCGGGAGCGCCGCCGCCATTCGTCGCCCCGACGCTCGCGCCGCCCTCGAGCAGCAGCCGCACCGCCTCGGCCTGCCCGTGACGAGCGGCCCAGGTGAGCAGCGTGTCCTGCTTCTCGGTGTCGTGCCGCGCGTCGAGCTGGGCCGCGAGCGACGTGCCGCGCGTCCGCCGCCTGGAGAGGAAGGCGCGCAGCCAGGCCAGGTCGCCCCGAGCCAGGTCGGCGAGGCGGGTTGGGAGGATGGCGTCGCGCATGCCGCCATAGAAGAATTCTTGAAGATTGGCACGGGCAGTCCTCCACCGCCGTGGCGTGGCAGACGGTGAAAAAATCCGCGCCATAACAACTGTCTATGCGCGCGCTCCGCCCCCGGCCGCTGCCGCCGCGAATGCGCGCGGCGGCCGCGCGCTTGGTGCCGACGTCGACCGGCTGCTCTCGCGGCGCCGAGGCGTGCCGCTTTGGTCACGTCTCGCGCGCTGCGAGGTGTCTTTTGGCATGCTGGCGCTTGGCAAAGACGCCAGCAAGCTCGCCTTGCTTGCCTGCGGCCGCGGGCGTGCGGGTGGGCCCGCCAGGCTCGGCGAAGCTCGGCGCGGGTCTTCGAGCTCGCCGCCGGCGGCGAGCCAGCATAGCTCGTCGCTCGACGGGAGCCTGTCCGGTACGCTCTGGGCATGCTGTACAGCATCGCCAACTCTCTGGGAGGGTCTACAGGGCCAGGGCGGGCCGGCTCGGGCGCGATTGCGCGCTCAATACTACCACGACTACCTGCTCTCGAACCGGGCCGCCGACGGCGGGCTTGTGCGGCGCGCCGCTCGACGGCAGGCTGCTCCTCACCCTTCCGACAGCATCTGCTGTCTCGCTTCTCTCGCTGCGACCGCATCCGGGGGCCTGCGCCGACCTCCTCGCTTCGCCAGCGCTGCCTATGACTGCGGCACGCACGTCGGCTCGCCGCCCGCGTCGCCCGCGGCGGGCCCGCATAGCGCGCCGCTCGTCGGGGGAGTGCCAAGGAGGTTGAGGAGTACAGGCTGCCTCGCTCAGACCGCCGCCGACGCGGCGCGGGGCCGCTGTCGGCGCTGCTGCCGAGCGCAAACACAGGCGAAGCAAGGGCGCGACTGCGTGGTTAAATTTAATCATTCATCTTGGGCAACCTCGAGTGATATGAGTTCGAGTAATATGAGTTGACCTCCCCACGCCCTCGCGCATGCCGTTGGGATTACGCAAGGCAAATCGAGTCCGGACTGCGCGCCTGCATCTCGAGGAGCGCCTGGTGGTACCCGAAGGACCACAGCAGCGGCCCGAGCGGGTCGCCCTGCTGGCAACCCTCGCGCGACGCACTTCGTACGCTACGAGGAGATACAATTAGGCAAGGCAGCTGCGCAGGTGATGGTCCTGTTTGCAGAGAGGGGAGTCAAGGAAGGCCAAGAAATCACATGGTCATATGGGGACTCATACAGGAGCCACCGCAAGGAGATGGGATACAGGGCGGGGACCAGGGCGGATCCGAACGCAATAACACCCCAGCAAGCGCGGACGGCATTCGCGAGATACTGCAAAAAGATAGACGTGACGAAGGAGGAGCTAGCGTGGAACTTTGGATGCATATCGGCAAGCCAAAATAACGAGCAGGAGGCTGTCCTGGTGCGTGAGCTAATCCTAAGCAACAATAAGCGACTGTACCACGGAGCACAGAGCGCAGCAGACAGGACGGCGGCGACGGCGGACATGGCAGAGACGAGTGTGAAACAAAGGGCGGCGGGCATGGAGGGCGGTAGCGACGGGGATGGAGACGGTGACGGTGGCGAGGGAGAGGAAGGGGGTCCATTAACACCAGACAGCGAGAGGGGCAGGGAGGAAAGGGGGAGAGAGGAAGCCAACGCGACGTGCGCAGAGGATGAGGATATAAACTGGGACGACGCAGCGGAGGGGATAGGCGAGGGAATCGAGGGACCGGAGGGCTTTCGCGACAGCGACGATGACGACGAAGAAAGGGGAGGGGACGGAGGGGCGACACGCAGGAGGAGCGAAATCGCTAACGGCCCGAGCAGAGAGGGCGACGGCGGGGCACGAGGGAACAACGGAGACGCTACCGATGACGCGAACCGAGGCACGGACGCCGGCGGGGACGGGGAGGGCGACAGCGACGTCGAGGTTGACGCAACCGTATCGAGAGCGCCACCCAAAAAGGGGCGGACAGCCATGGAGGTCACCGAATGGAGGGCGAACGGCACGATGCGAAAAGGCAGGGCGAGGCGGATGGAGAAAGAAGTGCCGCCAGGGCCATGGTGGAGGGGAGGGACGGGAGGACGAAAGAAGGGCGAGGAGGACGAGCGGCCCGCACAGACCGCGAGCAGACAGCGCCTGCTGGCCATTTCGAGACATTCGCCAAGAACGCTAGCTACATGGGAGGGCTTCGTGAAGGATGGATTGAAAAACATTCGAACAAAGAAGAGGCGACGGGAGGAACCGGCGGAGGATGCAGTGACGTGAGACACACACACACACACACACACACACACACACACACACACACACACACACACACGACACACACACACACACACACACACACACACACACACACACACACCGCTCACCCACGCGCACTGGGCCTTGCACTTTGAATGCCGTGGGGCTCCTGTCGTCAGACGTGGAGACGCGAGGGTTGCCCCCCCTTGCCCCACCACCTCGTGTGTGTGGAGAAGTTTACCTTACCTTACCTTAGCTTTAACAAGCGACACGCGCAAAAGAGCATACGCCAAAACCCCCCCTGCAGAGCGCGGCAAAGTCAAACGAACCGCTGACCGAACCAGGCGTCATCGATGATAGCCGATCCGCATGACCGGCGCAGCACATAGCGCTGCGCCGCGCGCGAACGGCCTCCTACTCCGTCTCGCGCCCAATGGCGAAGCCCAAGACGCAGTGGCCAAAGTCGAGCGCCGCGATGCCGTTCTCGGCTCCGGCCGAGTCGAGGTGGTACCGCTCGTGGATCTCGTAGATCGAGAGGATGAGGAGCGCCGCCCGCGCGCGGGCCGGCGCGGGGAAGAGCGAGTGGCTAGCCGGCGACCACGGCGCCGCTGCCCGCCGAACCAGCGCCGCCGCCTCGCCCTCGCCGCCCGCGGCGCGCCGCAACGGCGTCGGCTCGCCCTCGTGCAGGCTTGCGCCGCGGCGCAGGAGGGAGGTGGCGCGAACGGCGGTGAGGGTCTCAAGGTGCGCGAGCGGCGTCCAGCCGCGGCTGGCGACCAGCCAGGCGGCGAGGTCGGCGTGGCCGCGGCGGTTTGCGACCACCTCGGGCGTGCCGAAGGGCGTAGCGGCGCGGGAGGCGCCATAGGAGGAGAGGAGCTTGGCGACCTCGAGGTGGCCGTTGAAGCATGCCATGAACAGCGGCGTGGCACCGTTCTGCTTGGCCTGGTCGATCGCCGCGCCAGCCTCGAGAAGCAGCCGAACGCACTCGAGCTGGCCCTCCTGGCTCGCTATGAACAGCGGCGTGGTACCGCAGTTCATCGCTTGGTTGATGCCAGCTCCAGCGTCGCGCAGCAGCCGGGCGACCTCGAGGTGGCCCTCCTGGCACGCCGCGAACAGCGGCGTGGCGCCTTGCTCATCGGCCTGGTCGATCGCCGCGCCAGCCTCGAGAAGCAGCCGAACGCACTCGAGCTGGCCCTCTTGGCACGCCATGAACAGCGGCGTGGTACCGCAGTTCATCGCTTGGTTGATGCCAGCTCCAGCGTCGCGCAGCAGCCGGGCGACCTCGAGGTGGCCCTCCTGGCACGCCGCGAACAGCGGCGTGGCGCCTTGCTCATCGGCCTGGTCGATCGCCGCGCCAGCCTCGAGAAGCAGCCGAACGCACTCGAGCTGGCCCTCTTGGCACGCCATGAACAGCGGCGTGGTACCGCAGTTCATCGCTTGGTTGACCGCCGCGCCAGCGTCGCGCAGCAGCCGGGCGATCTCGAGGTGGCCCTTGTAGCACGCGACAATCAGCGGCAACCAGCCTTCAGCGTTTGCATGAGCCACCGCCGCGCCAGCCTCGAGGAGCAGGCGGGCGCACTCAATCTGCCCCTCCTGGCACGCGATGTACAGCGCGGGAGCGCCGCCGCCATTCGTCGCCCCGAAGCTCGCGCCGCCCTCGAGCAGCAGCCGCACCGCCTCGGCCTGCCCGTGACGAGCGGCCCAGGTGAGCAGCGTGTCCTGCTTCTCGGTGTCGTGCCGTGCGTCGAGCTGGGCCGCGAGCGACGTGCCGCGCGTCCGCCGCCTGGAGAGGAAGGCGCGCAGCCAGGCCAGGTCGCCCCGAGCCAGGTCGGCGAGGCGGGCTGGGCTGCCGGCGCCACTCATGTATGTACGCGTATGTCGCTATGCCCGCCAGAAAGAATTCAACAAAACTCTCTCGCTCAGCACACAGGTTCGACACAGGTACCAAAAGAGGCACAGCCTGCGACGGACCTTTAGAAGGCGCCGTCGTCCTCATGGAGGTGGGCACGATCGGGGGGACAGTCGCGTGCGAGCCCCGCAGAGGTGCGGGCGAGAGGGCGGCCCGAGCCCGAAAGGGCCCGCCCTCGGCGTTGCTCTACATGGTAACGGATAAGAAGAGAAACACCCCCGGACTGGGACGCCGGCAGTCGAGTCGGGACACGCTGTGGTTCAGACGTCCCCCCCCTCGACGCAGTCGAGTCACTGACATGAATAGGGAGGAGAAAAGTGTCCCCCACATATCACCACAGACGCAGCACAGGGGCTCCAATCCTGTCCCAGCCTGGGGGGCCTCGCTAGATCTCCAGTGGGGAGTGCGAGGGCTGGATCGACTGCAGTGTGGGTTGTGGACCGTCGGGATAGCGTGTGGCGTAGATGTTCTCCTGGAAGTAGAGAGGCCGATGTCTCTCGCCCTGCAGGAAGGAGAAACTCGGATGGTTGAGTGAAAACTCCTCCCTGCGGTATGTGCGCAGAACGGGGTGCGCTATGTGCAGCACGGTGTTGAGGGCTCGGGAGGGCAACGACGGCGGCGTTGCCGAGCTCGTACAGGGGCCTCAATCCTGTCCCTGATGGGGTGCGCCTCTCGCCGCGCGCGTAGCAGTCGGCGCGCGGGTAGCCTCAGAGATGCGCAGAGCGAGATGCGGTTATCGGCGAACCAAGCCCTGGGCTTGGATAGGGCGCGGCGTAGCCGCGGCGCAGTGGATAGCGTGAAGAGCCCACTCACTGTCGTGAGCAGACCGCCGCTACCACGTGCGAGCCCCGCAGAGGTGCGGGCGAGAGGGCGGCCCGAGCCCGAAAGGGCCCGCCCTCGGCGTTGCTCTACATGGTAACGGATAAGAAGAGAAACACCGGACTGGGACGCCGGCAGTCGAGTCGGGACACGCTGTGGTTCAGACGAGTCGAATCCGCGAGCACCGTAGTGCTCGCCGCCAGAAAGAAGAAAAACGACGCGCGCGGGAGGGTTTGTGGGCTGCGAGTCTGCGTGGGCAGTGGCGAGGTGAGCGGCAGCCTCTCCTCTCCTCCTCCTCTCCTCGCCTCTCCTCGCCTCGCCTCTCGTCTCCTCTCGTCTCGTTTCGTTTCGTCTCGTCTCCTCTCCTCTCCTCTCGTCACCACTCCTATCCCCTCGTCTCCCCTCGTCTCCTCTCTTCTCCTCTCCTCTCCTCTCCTCTCCTCTCCTCTCCTCTCCTCTCCTCTCCCTCTCCTCTCCTCTCCTCTCCTCTCTCCTCTCCTCTCCGCTCCTCTCCTCTCCTCCCCTCTTGTCTCCTCCCCTCTCCTCTCCTCTCCACTCCACTCCTCTCTTCTCTCCTCTTCTCTCCTGTCTCCTCCCCTCTCTCGAGTCGCGCGTAAGGGGGCCGGGGCGTGTGGTCCGGGCTCGGCCCTCGGGCGTCTCGGGGGGCACGGGGGAATCGCGTAAGCGAAATCCGAAAAGGCGGCGGATTCGTGTGTATATGCGTTGTGCGTCGACGGTGGCTACGGATCGGTTTTGAACTTTTGAACGACGCCTTTTGATCTAAAAGCTAGCATGCCCTCGCTCCGCGCGCCGAGTACACCGAGACTCGCCGGCCGCCCGCCACTCCCCCCTCCTCCCGCATGCTCAGCAACCAGCAGCTGCGCCAGCACACGACCATGCGATGACGGCGGCGAAGACGGCCGAGCCGGCTCAGTCGACGGCCTTGAAGGCCTGGATGAGCTCGGCGACAAAGTCCGCCGTGACGGGGTAGGACTCGGCGCCGAGCCGGTTCTGGAAAAAGTAGAGCATCGAGTTTTTGACGGGTCGCCAGTAGCGCTCGCCGTGGCCGGTGCGCTGGTGCTGCAGCCCCATCAGGTAGGCGTGCTCGCTCACCTTTGCAACCTCGTGGTGGCGCAAGAAGGGCTTTGCGCACGCAAACGCGCGCGCCAGGCTGCTGCTCATGTCCATCTCGGGGACGACCACCACGAAACAGAGCGGCTCGTCGCTCGCGCCCAGCAGCGCGCCCACGTGACGGAAGCAGGCCTAAGGGGAGGTGAGGTGCACTTCTCCACGCACACGAGGGTGGTGGGGCAAGGGGCCAGGCTAGCCCTCGCGACTCCACGTCTAGGCAGGCAGGAGCCCCACGGCATTCAAAGTGCAAGGCCCGGTGCGCGTGGGTGAGGGGTGTGTGTGTGTGTGTGTATGTGTGTGTGTGTGTGTGTGTGTGTGTGTGTGTGTGCGTGCGTGCGTGCGTGCGTGCGTGCGTGCGTGCGTGTGCGTGCAGGCCTGCACGCTTGACGTGTCGAAGGGCGGGTTCGCCTCGTAGCAGCCGCTGACGGGTCGGAAGGCGTAGAAGGAGCCGCTCGAGCCGAACCACTTGTCGGTGTCGTCAAAGACGGAGCCGAAGGTGGCGAGGCACCTAGGGCAGGGCGGGGGGCGAGAGAAGGTGGGAGACGGCGGGAGCAGGTGAGCGACGGCGGGAGGAGGCGGGGAGGGCACCGGTTGAGGGGCGAGGCGTAGCACTCGTGCGTGACGCCCCACCGCTCCTTCAGCAGCCTCATCATCGGGCGGGGGAGCGCCGCCTGGAAGGCCGACTTGTCCGCCGCGAGGGCCGAGTAGCGCGACACGAGCGCGAAGAGGCGGCAGTGCAGCAGCCTCATGTCGTGCCCGAAGCCCTCGTACGCGCCCCGCAGCTGGGAGTAGTGGCCGCTCCACAGCTCCACCTGCAGCTCGTCGTCGACGTACCTGCTCAGCAGTGTCGTCCTCCTTCTGAGTGGCCACGTCTCAACTCGCAGCTCCACCTGCAGCTCGTCGTCGACGTACCTGCTCAGCAGTGTCGTCCTCCTTCTGAGTGGCCACGTCTCAACTCGCAGCTCCACATCTCGACGCACCTAATCAGCGACGGAGGGAGTCACTCACCCAGTACCGAGGGATGAGCTCGCAGCACCGACGCACCGCTGCTGCGCGCTCGGCCCCACCTCGTGCGGCTCGTGCGGCCGCCACGCGATCCGCACCGTCTCCCCCTCCCCCGGCTTGCGCCCCCCCGCCCGCGGCCGACCGCTGACCGACAAGCCGAGAGACGTGTCGTTCAGCTCCCGCCCGTTGCGCAGCCGCTGCTCCCACCGCTGCATCGCCGTCGCGCGCGAGAGCTGCAGCTCCTCCGCCGCCCTCCGGCACTCGACGACGATGCTGGCCGCCTAGTCCCATACCTCCATGCGATCGAACCCGGCGTGGGTTCGGTCCCGCTGCTGGTGCGGTATGGCCGCCGCGTCGAGCGCCGCGCGCTCGCTCAGCGTGTACAGCGCCTTCAGCTGCGTCGCGAGCCACTGCTGCGTGTTGCGGTCGACGCTGCTCGGCAACACCTCGTCCACCTGGCGGCTCGGGAAGGGGACTACGTCATAGCTGAGTACCAAGGAGTGCCTCGGCAACACCTCGTCCTCGGGTGACTGAACCAACGGACTGATGAATCAACTACTGACCGACGAGTGGCTCGGCAAGACCGCATCCACCTGCGGCTCGGGCGCGGTGCGCGCGGAGCGGCAGTCGTCCACCAGCGACTCAGGCGTGCGCGAGATGAAGATGAACTTGTTGAGCACGTCCGACGCGTCCTTGCGCTGCTTGAAGCCGAGCTGCCGGAAGCTCGCCTCGCCGCCGCCCGTCGCCTGTGGATGCGTGAGTCGAGTCCGTCAGCGCAGGCAGACGTGAGTATTCGTGCTCATGGCTACCAATCGCCATGGCTGCGCATACTTCACTGTGCCAGCCTGCCGGTGGACGTGCAGGACGAGCGCCTCGACGCGCCGCCTGCGCTCGACGGCCGTGGCGGGCAGCTCGACGCCTAGTCCCATACCTGCATGCGATCGAACCGGGCGCGGGTCCGGTTGTCGTGGGTGGTGCGGCATCGCGGTGCCGCGCAGCTGCTCGAGGTGCGACGACATGAAGAGGGACGAGACGGCGGGCGTGAGGCCGCCGCCGCGCAGCAGCTGCAGCGGCGCCTCGGGCGGCGCTGCGAAGTGGGCGTCCGGGACGAAGGACCACTCCTCCTCCTGCGCGTGCGCCTCGCCACGCGGCGTCCTGCGCGTGTGTGGGGGGGGGGGGGGGAGGGGTCTAGCTCTCCCCCTCCGCCTCGATGAGGCAACCTCCAGTGCCCCCAAAGGAAGGAAAGGGGAAAGGGGGGAGGGCGGCTACCGGCGGGCGCGGTTGCAGTGTCTGCGGTCTGCAGCCTGCGCAGCTCGTACCGCCACACCCACTCGCGCAGCCACGCGCGCATCGCCTCTTGGTGCTGCGGGTCGCGGTACGCCGCCACCGCCCCCGACAAGCTCGCGTTCGACACGAGCACCTGCAGTGTGTGCAGTACGCCGGCGTCGGGGCGGGAGGGCGGTGCCGCGCCGCGTCAGTCGGAGCGCCGCGTGGAGGCGAGGGGTGGCAAATCACAACGACGCCTCCAGCTGAGGCGCGGCTGAGTGTGCCTCCCCTCCCGCGGAGATGCAATCTCCTCCCGCGGAGATGCAATCTCCTCCCGCGGAGATGCAATCTCCTCCCGTGGAGATGCAACGGACCTCTCTACCAGAGTCCGGCGTCCGCTTCTATGCACCAGCACCGCGCGGTTGTCGATCGCCCACCGAACCACCGGCGGCAGCGCGCCTGACTCACTCACGGCCAAGCCTCACGCGCCGCTGTCCACCCCTCGCTGGCACCAGCCCACCCGCGGCAGCGCGCCCTCCGCCGCGCCGTCCGCCGCCCCCTCGGGAGCCCACTCGGCCATCGACGCCTCGATCAGCGTGGCGAGCTCGTCACGCGCCGCCGCGAGGGCCGCCGACTCGCCTCGCACGCGGTCGATCGCGCGCGGCGTCCGCCACACCGGCGGCAGCAGGCAGACGACGCTCGAGCCCGGGAAGCGGTTCATGTAGTACTCGAGCGCCGTCATCACCGGCACCTGCGCGGTGTCGGCAGAGCCGTCTCGGAAGTGTCTCGGAAGTGTCATCACCACCACCGGAGCGGCGATGCACGGCGAGGCGGGCGGCGGTGGTGACGGCGCGGAGGGAGGCGGGGGCGGCGGCGGAAGAGGAGAAGGGGCGGCCGAGGCGATGAGGTAGGGAATGGCGGAGGCGGTGGCGCGGGGGAAGGGGGGGGCGGGCAGCGCGGAGGGTGCGGAGGAAGCGGTGGCGGCGGATAGGGGCTGCTGCAGCACACCACCGCCAAGTAGCCGCCGTCGCGCGGCTTGCCGGTGGCGGCGAGATTGGCGGCGTCGATGGCGATGAGAGGCATCGGCTTCTCGCCCCACTCCACCTCCTCCTCCGCCGCCTCGCCGGCCGCCGCAGCGAGCGGCAGAGGCGGCGGCACGGAGGGCGGCGGCGCCGACGGCGCAAGGGCGGAGGGCGCAAGGGCGGGAGGCGGAATTGGCAGAGGGGCGGGGGGCGGAGGGGCGGGGGGCGGAGGGGCGGCGGGGCGGCTCCAGCTCGTTTCTAGCGTGGCCGTGTGGTAGTAGTACATCCGCCCGCCGGCCGCCTGCGCCTCCCTCCACCCCTCGGGCAACGGCGCGGGCGACGGGTGCGGCGAGGCGGACGGCGGTGCGGCGGTGCCTGTGGGAGAGATGAGGGAGATCTGAGGGGGATCTGAGGGAGATCGCGGGAGATCGCGGGAGATCGCTGGGAGGCCGCGGGAGATTGCGGGAGATTGCGGGAGATCGGTGCCGAGCTGGACGATCGACTCGAGCATCGACGCCATCTCGTCGGGCGCGGCGGCGGGCAGACCGCTCGCAGCTGTCAGCTGCGCCTCCTCGCACCCCGCCGCCGCGGGGCGCAGCTCTTGGGCACGCATCTCGTCCAAGCCGGGCCGGCGGAAGTGGCCGGCGGCCACCGCCGCTGCGGCCGCGTCATCATCACCGTCAGGGAGCGCCACCGCAAGCCCGTCGGTGGCGGTGGCGGCGGAGGCGGAGCCGGCTGCTCCGTCCCCGCCCCTCTGCCTGCGCCCACCCGGGCGGTCCTCGCACGCGATCGGCCGCTCCTCGAACGCTGCGGCGGACGACCCAAAGTCAAACGGCACCAGCTCCCTCTCAACGCCGCCGCCACCGCCGCCGCCGCCGCCGCCGCCACCACCGCCTCCGCCGCCGCCGCCGCCGCCGCCGCCGCCGCCGCCACCGCCGCCGCCGCCGCCGCCGCCGCCACCGCCCGCTCGGCCGCTGATGCCCATCTCGGCCATCGAGGCTCGGAGCGCCGCCTGCAGCATCTGCTCCTCCGGCGCCACCTTCGCCGCAGCCGCAACGCCGCCCACGCCGCTCTTGCCGCGCCCGCCGCCCTTGCCGCCCTTGCCGCCGCCGCTGCCACCGGCGGCGCGCGGCACGGCGGAGGCCGCTGCCGGGGCGGCGGCGAGAGAGGAGGAGGAGGAGGAGGTGGCGGTGGTGGTGGCGGAGGAGGTGGCGGAGGAGGTGGCGGAGGAGGTGGCGGAGGCGGAGGAGGAGGAGGCGGCGGAGGAGGAGGACTGCGAGATTTGGTCCGCCTCTCGAGCCGACCGTCCTCTAGCACGGAGCGCGCGCAGCAGCGTGTCGACCAGCTCAGCGCTCATTGCGCCCTGCGTGTAGCGCGCGCCGTCGGGCGGCGTCCAGACGCGGATGTCACCCGTGCGGAGCACGCGCAGCTGCGCCGGGTAGGGCGACCTGCTCACGGCTGCAGGTGTGAAGAGACGCCGTTCACAGCTCGTCGCCACTGCCGCCGGAGAGAGGCTTGTCCCTCCGGCCTTCTTCGATGCGGTGGCCTTGCTGGGACCGCCCGTCGCCTTGCCGCACCAAGCCTCGGGCACCTGGTTGAGGGCGGCGGGCTGGGCGGCGTAGAAGACGCCGTACCTGTTCACAGCGTGAGGTGTGAAGAGACGCCGTTCACAGCTGTAGCCGGGCGGCGTGACGACGCCGTACAGTAGCCGCCGCGAGAAGTGGAAGAGAAAGAGCGGCGTGGTCGGCGTCACGCGCTCGAGGATCCTCATGTCGCCGGGGCCGCTGCCGAGCAGCGACCGCTGCATGCACTCGCTGAAGGTCCTGCCCGAGCAGAAGAAGAGGAAGCCGGGCAGAGGCGGACGCTGCGGCTTCTGCGGCTGCGGCTGCTGCAGTGCCGCCTGTGGCTGCGGCGGCCGCCGCTGCGGCGGCGCGGCGGCGGCCGGGTTCCTCTTTGCGGGTCGACGCGACGGAGACCACGCCTCCTCCTCGGCGCAGCTCGGCGTCTCTGGCGCGTCCGGCGCGGCGAGCGGCGGCGGGGCGGGTGCCGAGGCGTCCTGCAGGATGCACTCTGCCATAGCGATAAAGTTGTGGTCTCCGATCTCTCCGTCGGCGAGGAGCTTCTCGAGCGATCTCGCGGCGGCGTCGCCAGCCGCCGCCGCAGCACGGACCCGGCTGTGCACGTTCGAGCTGCGCATTGGCAGGCCGGCGGGGTGATGTCGAGGGGGGGCGGCGGTGGGTCCGACCCCCCCCACAGAGGCTTCTTCAGTCTGCGGCCAGGGCGCGCTGCACCGGGCCAACCTGCGGCCGTCGCCACGTGCGGCGGGGCTCACCGCGGGGCAGCGCGCCGACGACGTCGAATGCGCCGCCGTGGCATCGCGGCGCCGACGACCAGGCTCAGAGGATGACCCCGGGTAAGCGTTCCCGTGCCTCGACAATTGCCGCTGGTAGGCGCGCCGCGCCGAACCATGGCGGGCGCGCCGCGGCCGCGCCCCTCGTCACAATGCCAACCGCGCGCGGCCGTCGACCGGCAAGCACACGCCTCGACTCGGACACAGTGTTCCGAGGGCAAGGGAGAGGGGCTGGCTCCTAGCCCGAGAGGAGAGCTTCCGAGACCCACTACAAGACCACGCACGCATCATCCCGCGGCCTGGCGGTCGGCGGGATTGCAACCAGTCTTCGCGTGCCGCCTGTCGTTCGCTCGGGCGCCTTGGGCGTCGGGGTGGCGAGCAGGGGACGCAGCTCTGAGCGCCCAGCGACGCGTGCCGGATGGAGTCCGGCCGCGGGTGACTAGGGAAGTTCGCTCAGGATGTGTGGCAGTCAGTTCGGCTGAGTGTCTTGTCTTGTGGTTCTGTGTGTCGCTCCTGTGTGACCGTCATCGCCCGTCCTGCGTCCACCCATACCGCGTTGGTGTCCCAGTCGTCGTTGGTCGGACTGTGTTTCGCCTTCCCATCAATCAAGCAATCAGGCTCCACCACATGCTTGGGGGGGGGGTCCCGACCCCCCCAGAGGCTTCACCACATGCTAGGGGGGGGTGCGGCGTGAGTAGAAGCACGCCACCCTCCCTGGAAGCGATGTCCGCCTGCTCCTGCACTCAAGTGGGCTTCGTTCGACCGGCCTCGCTCGGCTGGGGGGGCGGGTTGTCCCGGCTGGTTCTGCAGTTCCCTGGGCGTGACTCAGCACCCCAAAACTGCCCCTCGGCGGCATACAGCACTGCCAGCCAGCCTCTTCCTCCTCCTCAAGGGCTGTACTATGGCCATATTGCGCCGCCTCCTACTGGCAGCCGGGCGGGCGCGCGCCGCGCGCGCCTCGGCGCGCGCACGGCTCGCAAAGTTCGAGCGAGTATTGCCGCCTGGCCGCCTCAAGGCTGCCGGGCGGCAGTACTCGCCTCGCAAGGCGCGCACCGGCTGCTCTGGCTGCTGCACCGGCGGCCGCTGCGCTGGCCGCTGGCCCGCTGTTGCGCTGGCCGGCGAGCGGTACGACCGCCGGCAGCCGCTGCACCCGCGCCTTCCCTCGCGGGCGCCGTCGCGCCGCGCGCGCCCAACTCTGCTGGCACACGGCACGCGTCGTCACTCAGCCGCGGAGAACAGGCGGTGCAGCGCGCGAACACGCGAAGCGCGCGCGATCTCGTCTTACTACTTTCAAGGCTGGATCCGGCCATTCCAAGGGTATATGGTCCGACACATCTAAAGTGGAAGGGTGGGGTAGGGGAGAAGTACTCTTGAGGGAAACATTGGACCGTCAGGCCCCGGGGACTGGCCAGCCCGACTGACACAACCTTCAGGAACACCATTTTGCGGTCCTGAGCGGCCGTCTCGGAGCAGAAGCTTCCCTGCCTCCTTAGCCATGTTGCGGTGCCCTCGTGCCATCTGGTCCACGCACTGCTCGCAAGTAAAGCGTCTTCACAGGTCGGCAGATACGCCTCACCTTCGAAAGGGTGGCTGCCTACCCCAAAGCCCAGCCCGGGGCATCGATTTCTCTTGACGATTTCACTTTAAAACGCTGGTGCAGATGGGGTTTTCTCTATAGAAGTCGGAGCCTTGCGTCCAAGGAGAGGCAGCGTGCGGCTCCGTGGACTCGGCCATCTCCCGCGGGTGAGAGGGCGAGAGGAAGCACTCCCGCCCTCTGAGGCGGCCGTCCGAGTCGGGGAGGCAAACACACAACCATCCTCGCGGGTGTGGGCGGCCTTATCGGCCCGCTATGCTAACCCAAAGTCGGCCCTTCCTCGCGGTCGGCTGCGGAGGCCCCTTAGCCCTAGCCGGAGCTAAGGGAGCCGACTTTTTCGGCGCTAACCCTAGGAGAAACCGCTCCGGAATAGGGTTACCGGCACCATCGGGCGGCGCCATGCGGATGGAGGGAGTCGGGTCTGCCATCGGCGGGCCGTCAGGGCGCTGAGAAGTCAAGGACGACTTTTTAGCTCCACTTTCGGCGTGCCGGAGTATACCTTTGAGAATCCCCAGCGTCCCTCCCTCCTAGTCACAATCTCAATATCTCGACTCTCCAACACGAAGTGCTGCAATGGAGCTTACCCCATTTCTTTTTTCATTTCTTTTTTGGCCGCCCTGTGGGGGCACCCTACTCCCCCTAGAGGGGCCTAGAGACAAGAGAGCGCAGCGCGCCGAAGAAATATTTTTGAGAAAATGCCACGCCATGCAGGGGCAGGGGGTGTTTGTGTGCTTTTGTTGTGCAGCCCCTGTGGTCCGTGAGAAGAGGAGACAAGGATACGGGGGGGCGGCGAGGGGGGGGCAGCCGTCGCAACAGGCGAGCGCACCCCGAGCCGGGGCGGCACCGGTGGATCGGCCGGCCCCGACGCGGATCTTGCCAGGAAGGGAACAAGGCAGCCCGATGAGGTTCGTGCCGGCGGCAGACAGAACAAAGAAATGGGAGGAGGCAATTCGGGAGGCCGAGAAGGATCGGGCGGCCGCGGCGGCGGGCGAGGGGCGTTCTGCAGTTACGGGGTGTGGAGGGTGAGTTGAACAGGGGTTGTGCGCCAAGCCCTCCTGCTCGGCTCCAGCGAGTAGACAAGTCTTACCATCAACAGAGGAGAAGGATATGACCTCAGGGCTGATGTGACCAAGCGCTGGTAGCGTGGTTTTACCTCACACCCATGGTCTCACAGTGTGCCGGCAGTCGCCGAGCAGTGTCGCTCACACAAGCCGCAGCACAAGTGACTGAGGGCCAGTGAGGGCGAGCCCATCGCTGTCACAGCTGTGGCAGCCGCACAGTAGGCTGTGTCAGCTGTGCAGAGTGTGTGAGCAGCAGAGGAGCTGCTCTCCAGGCTTTTGTCGCAAAGAGCTGCATGCCACCGAAAGCGCTGTCGAGGTTCGCCGAGCGAGGCGCAGGTTGGAGGACACCGTCACCGACGAGCGCGTTGGACTTTTCACTCCGGACAAAGACCGCTGCACAGCGGATGGTATGGGCCGTGCAGCGGTCAGAGCGGCGAGGCGCGGGACCGTCTGTGGCGAAGTGGGTCACCCGTGTGCGGGGTAACCCGCGCACGGGGAAGCTTCACGGGTTCGAGCCGTCAAACATTGAGCAGCGGAGGTGTGCCGAGGGGGACCGGGAGGCGGTAAGCCGTCGTCGCCCGGCGCTGCATGCACCGTGGCGATGGCGCTAAGAGGTTCCTCTTTTCCGCGCCCCCCCCGCAAGGCGCGCGATACACACAAAGGGTCGCGTCCTCCGATTTTGTTCAACCCAGCATCCACACCTCTACTCGAGTAAGGGGAAACCCGGTACACGGAGCCCTCTCGGAGAACTGTGTTTACTTTAAGGCCCTTGCCCTGCGAACGCGCACCCCCCCCTAGGGGTCAGGGCTCTCTAGCCCGTAGCCCGATACCGATCATCCGGCCCGCTGGGTGCGCTTCTGAGCTCCCCGGCCCTGTGGATGTGAGGTTAATGACTGCACTCCAAGTGCTCCAAGTGCTAAAAGCTAGGCGACGCTCCGAGACGACCAACGTGGTAAAAGTCGCACACTCTCCTGACCCGATCAAAAGCGTAAAAGCACCCGAGGCTCCAGAAACCTAACTCTCAGATGCTCTCCCCGCTCAGTGAAAAGAAATCCAACGCGCGGTGCGCACTCACGCCGCGCTAGACGCAGGTCGCAGTGGCCGCCGCTCTCCGCTAGTCAGACCGGCGCCATGAGCGCTCTGATCGCCGCGTCGCCAAAGTCCGGGTGAAGCCGCGTCGAGCCGATGCCGGCGTAAACACCCTCCGGCCGCGGCGGCGGTCCGTCGAGCGGCGCCCACGCCTGACTCGCCGGGTCCCACGCACTCCATCGCCGGTGGGTTCGCGCGTCCTTGAGGCATCCCGCCCACTCCGGAGCGCCGTCGTCGTACAAGTAGAGGCGGCAGGAGGCGGCGGCCTCCGGCCCGAGCGGCTGGAAGCGGTTGATGTAGCACTGGCACGCGTAGCCCGTCCCGCCTCCGACGTCACACGCGGCCGTCTGTGAGTCGCCAGCGGAGGGCGCGCGGTAAGCGACGGCGTACACAGCGTCAGCGCAGAGGACCTGCAGCACGTTGCGCCGCGACTTCCTCCAGTCGCGGTCAAAGGCCGCGAGGGAGGCGTAGTTAGGGTAGCGCGCGCGCCGGATCGCATCCACCACCTCGTCGACAAGCTCCGAGTGCAGAATGCCGTCGTCGAGGTGGCACAGCGCCTCCTGTTGGCCCGCGCGTGCGGCTGCGCTGGGCACGTTGTGCGGACCCAGCAGGTGCGCGACCAGGTGGCCACAGCCGAGCGCAAGTGCGCCGAACAGCGTGTCCGCGCCGTCGCTCGCACCCGACAGCATAACGCTGCGACCCTCGGCGAGAGCGTTGACTGCGCTGCGCCCGGTGAGGATGGCGGTAGGCAGCTCCGCCAGGAGTTTTTCGCTCATGATGTCCCTTTTTCTATTGTCACTAACACGTGTGGCGCGAGGCGAGCGGCTCGCGCGCCTCAAGACAAGTCAGGGTCGCAGCCACAAAAGAAGTCGTACGCGCACCGCCCAGGACTAGGGCTCTCTTGCCCGCAACCCGATGCCAATCATCCGGCCCGCTGGGTGCGCTTCTGAGCTCCCCGGCCCTGGATGTGCGGTTGATGACTGCACTCCAAGTGCTCCAAGTGCGTTGCGGCTCGCAGCGCCCTGGCCTTGGTCGGATAAAGCGCCTGTTCACGGCATGGAGGGTGAGCCACACCGAACGTACCAAACGTAGAGCCGAGCGGAAGGAAGCCGGGGAAGATGACTTCGAGGAGGACGAACCAGTGGAAATCCAGCTGTCAGATGTCACGACGCATCCGAAGGGGACCCCAGCGCCGGCATCATCCGTAGAGGCACAAGTGTTCGAAGAGAGAGTGGACCTGAGCAACGACATGACTGGGTGGCAAATGATCGCAGTGGGCATCAGAAGACTCGTCCTTGCGCGAGGAGAGCTCGATAGACTCGAGGGGCCAGGATACGCAGCGAGGAGGACGGAGTTGCGCCGAAAGGCGAAAGAAGCCGCGAGAACAAGGGACCGGCAGGCGGCGGCGCCGCAGGACGAGGCAGAAGAGAATGACGCGACAGAGGAGGAAATGACGAGGGAGAGAACGACGAGAGTGGGACGGCCGCGAGGTGGCATGAAGATTGCAGCGAGAAGCGGCGAGAGACTGCGAAAAGAGATAGGAAGATTCCTCCCCGCAACCCGCCACCCGGCTCGCCGCCCCGTTGCCGTCGCGAGTCAGCCCTCGGTCAGGTACTGCCAAAGGCGGCCACACGCAGCACCATCGCTACCAGCGCCACCGTGCCGGCGCTGGTGAGCTCTGCGGCCCGTGTAGCGGCCCCTTAGCCCGTCGCCCGGGCACATGGCGCCCTCACACCGCTCCTCGCCCCCGTCTCGCAGGCCAAAATCGTCGACATCGCGTCGGCACTCTCTACGGCGCGCCTGGGCTCGCAGAGGGCGGCCTGGGCGGTGCAGGGTGGCTGGGCTGCCCCCCTCGCGCGGTGTGCCAAGCCTCGGGGGTCGGGGATACCATCTAGGGTCGCCGAGGGGGCGGGTCGGACGCCCGATCCGGCTGCTGGCCGGAGGACGTCGCCGTCAACAGCTAAATCAACCAAATTCACTCATCAAACTCTGGTTCCTCCTCCCTACCGCCCAAGCGACCCCCCTCTGCCTCGCCGACACCTCCACCAGCCGCCGCCGCCGCCATCACCTCCACCTGCCCGGGCCGAGCGCTCCATCGGCTCACCCGCCGCCCCGCGCCACGCCCTCCGCAGGAGCGCTCTCAAGAATGGATGACTGGTCCCTCTCTGCCGAGCTGGGCAGCCCGCCGCGGGCACTCGACCTGCTGATGCACGAGTGTACCTCCGCCGCTGTCGTGGTCGACGAGCACAACAAAATCCTGGCTTGCAACGCAAAGTGGGTGGCGATGTGCGGCTACACTCCGGCGGAGGCGCTCGGCAAGAGCCCCCGGATGCTGCAGGGGCCGCTGACGGACCAGGGAAAAGCGAAGCTGTTTGCGGAGGAGGTCCGCGCGCGCGGCGGCGCCCGTGCAATGCTGGCCAACTACTGCAAGGACGGTATTGCCTTTGTGCACGCGCTAAGCGCCACGCGGGTCACTGGTCAGCCGCCCTCTGCGCTGCCTCTGTCCCTCTCTCCGCCGCTGCCTCCCGCCGCGCCGCCCCTCGCCGCTGATCACCGCCGCCGCCGCTGCCCGCAGACCGCTCGACCGGACACGTCCTGTACTTTACCGAGGGGCGGCACGTCAAGGACCGGCCGGACAGCCGCGCTCCCCTTCTCGGAACCTTCTCGGAACCTGCTTGAACCTCCCCCCATAGGAACCGGCGGTCTGCCGCGCCATTCTCAAGACGGACCGCGCGGCGAGCACAACCGCCGCCACCACCACCACCAACTCCGCCACCCCCTCCTCCTCCTCCGCCGCCGCCGCCATCGGCATCGCCATCGCCGTCGCAGTGTCCGGTGCTGCGGTCGCGGCGGGCGGCCACGTTTCCTCCCTGCCGCGGCTGCTCCTCCTCCCCTCCGCCATCCCGCTCGCGATCGTCGTCCTCTCGCTAGCGGTGGTCGCGACGGAGAAATTCCCCTCGCCGCACGTCGCGCCCCTTCTCGGAACCTTCTCGGAACCGGCTCGGACCCTTCTAGGAGCCGACCTCGCCGAGCCGCTCGTCGCGCCCTCGCCGAGCCGACTGCTTTCGCGGCAAGAGCGAGGCGCCGCTCGAGGCGGAGAGCGCGCCTCCCCGTGCTTCTTCCCGTCCCACCCCGCGTTTCTTTTTTTAGGCGGAGCTCGAGGCGGGGACGCGCGCGCATGTGTGTCTTCCGTCTTGCGCACCTGCGTTTTCTTTTTTTAGGCGGAGCTCGAGGCGGAGCGCGCGGCGCGCGCGGCGGCCTGGCTGGAAAAGCAGGCCAGCGACGCCGCTCTCTCCGCTCGGCGCACCTCGGCCGCCTCCAACAAGGCGCAGGCGCCCTCTCTCCTCTCGTCTCCTCTCCTCTCCTCTCCTCTCCTCTCCTCTCCTCTCCTCTCTGCTTCCTCTCCTCTCCCCTCCTCTCCGCTTTCTCCTCTCTCCTCTCCGCTTCCTCCTCTCCTCTCGTCTCGTCTCGTCTCCTCTCCTCTCCTCTCCGCTTCCTCTCCTCTCCTCTCCTCTCCTACCCTACCCTACCCTACCCACCCTTCCCTACCCTCTCCTCGCCTCTCCTCTCCTCTCCTCTCCGCTTCCTCTCCTCTCCTCTCCGCCTCCTCCTCTCCTCTCCTCTCCTCTCCTCTCCTCTCCTCTCCTCTCCTCTCCTCTCCTCTCCTCTCCTCTCCTCTCCTCTCCTCTCCTCTCATACCCTCTCCTCTCCCCTCCTCTCCTCTCCCGTCTCCATACCCCTCCTCTCCCCTCCCCTCACAGAGATCTGGATTCATCTACACTTGTCAATTGGCTGGTAGCCCCTCGAACTAGTTAATTAATCAGTAGTCGCCTCGTCCGTGGAGCGAGATTAGCCGAGATCTGCGGATGTTGGCCCAGGTTCGCCGAGATTGCTCGAGATCGATCGTCTCATCGAGATCAACAGCCAACGGCGTGTCCGCGAGCGTGGTGAGAGATGGCGCCGAGAGACGGCGAGGAGTGCGGTCAGTGTCTTGTACTCGCCGAGATCTGCCGAGATCCCCGAGATCGCGATGAGCCGAGACTGCGCGAGATTAATCGAGACTGTGATGCGCCGAGATTACCCGAGATCGTGATAGCCGAGCTTACCCGAGCTCGATGAGCCGAGATTACCCGAAATTACCCGAGATGAGTCCCCATGCGCGAGATCAGCCGAGATCAGCCGAGATCACCGAGATTAGGCGCGCGAAGCGCGGGACGAGTACCTCCTGCGCGAGATCACCCGAGCTCGCCCGAGATCACCCGAGAGAGACCCTCACGCACCACCCACACACCCACATACACACATGA